TGATTTAGTATCATCTTCTTCGTCAATAGATAACAGTGGCAATAATATTAACAGAAACTCAGGCCCAGCAAGTAAACAAGATTCGCAGTCTCACTCAAATCTATTCAAACCATTCGATCCAAAAACCGGTCAGTTCATTGAAAATAGTAGTCTAAATGAAATGGATAACGCTTTCTCAGTCAATGATAGCATTTTATCAGGAAATTTCAAGGGAACAGATCACCGTTTCAATGATATGATAGATATAGAAATGTTGGATGCTGATGCTGATGAAGTGGAGGAAGACGATCAAGAGGAGGAAGTAGCCGAAGATGAGGAAAACGATATTGTAACAAATAATTTAGGTATAAATGACCATTTACATTCAGTACTGGTACAAAATTTGCATTCTATGAATTATTCAAATTCTTATAAAAATAAAATAAGATCACATTCAGTTCCAACAATTTTACATTCTTCACTAAGGAGATTGACAAATTATAAACAACATCAAAATCAAAATAACCAAATAAACTTCCCATCAGTGATAAGTGAATCAGTAGTATCGACAAAGTTTTCAACTCCAGTTACATCATCACACTTTTTAAGTTCAGCTACAACTACAGCTGGCAACACAAACTTTTCAGAAACTCCAACATCATCTTCCTCATCTTCTTCATCAGCTTCTGCTAGCACAAACCCAGCAAATTTGAAAAGTAGCCAGGTTTCCTCTTCGGGCAGACTAGTACAACCAACTACAATTTATCAAAGTTCACTAAATAATAACAATAATCAACAAGGTGTTAAAAAGAGAAAGTATACGAAACCGCATAGGTCAATCTTAAGGACTACAACTTCAGCAATAACTCCGACTCTACCTTATCCACAATCGAAAAATAACTCTAACATCAATATTCATAATACGGTTCATACAGATACCCACGATACAGGAACTTCAAATAAATTATCCAACCAAAGACTTTATTCATATAATGACGGAATTAAAAATAACTTGAATTCATTGAGTTTGGGTGAAAGAATAAACTACATAAAATCATATCCTTCGCCATTACCTCTGCCCCCAATTAACCTGCAGTGTCTCAAGGAAATTGATCTACAAGAAATAGTGAAAAACCCTCAACTAAGGCATGATATCATATTTGATCCACTGTTACAATTCAGGCCAAATTTAGATGGTGAAAGAGGTGTAAAGAAAACCCAACTAGCTGATAAATACTGGAATGATGTAGAAAATGAACTTTTTGTATATTTGAAAAGACCTGACATTTTCGACTATAATCATACAAGACTGGTACCTTTATTTGATACTTTAAGGGATATACTATTAACAACTGTTCCTCAAAAGGAATCTCATATGATAAATGGTGTACTGGATACTGAGTTGACTGTACAAGAACTGATTAAAGGTTCCTTACAAATGACTAACTTTTCTGATTGGCTAGCCCAATTGTTTAAACATCATTGTGCTCCAATGAGAGATGCTTGGGTTGACAAAATGAACAATAAATTTAAAGAAGCAGATTCTCAAAGCTCGTTACCTAAATTAATAGAAGGATTGAGACTAGTATTTCAAATACTGGAGGCAATGAAGTTGGATATTGCAAATCACCAAATAAGAATATTAAGACCGGCTTTATTAAGCAATGCTGTTGAGTTTGAAAAGCAATATTTTCAACCTCTTATGAACTCAAACAAAATAGATTTAAAATCCTCATTGATATGGTTTAGCGGCAAGTTTAATGAATTAGAATCATCTGGAATGATCAAATCTGGAGAAGCTACTCCTCAGGATGCATACAGACTATGCATAAAATCAATTATTAGCCTATTATCATGTAGAAAAATGGTGAGAAATTATCCAACAGCCTTAACTTTTGATCATACAAGGTTAGTTTTGTTAAGGGCAGATATACGTCAGATTGTATGTTTAATGGTTTGCAGATTACTTTTCCAACAATTATATTCAAGTGATCCTATGATAAACCCAAAAATGAAGGAATTATCAACACGAACTATTCAAATAAGAAATTAAAGAGAGATATAATAAGTATTATTACAGATGAACATGGAAACTGTAGATGGACTAAAAACATTATGTCCATTGCGGTACATTTGTGTAAAACGATAGGTGACTTAAAGAAATTATACAATGAGCAAAATAGTGATATTTCAGAAACTCCATCTACTCCTTCGAAACCTGGTGTATTCCCAGATTTAGATGATAAGAAAATAAATTTCGCCAAATCTTGGTTATCCAAGCAAACCCAGCCATTGAGTGAGGTTTATGGAGTATTAGAAAATAGAGTTTTCAAGACATTAGAAGATTTGATTTATGAGAATTCCTCATGTACAGTTGATGGTAGAGTAAAACAAGACTTTGTATATTTGTGCAGTAGTACAAATAGTTCCAATCCGAATGAAAGTTTTACTTCTGTAGACAAGTTTGCATCAAGAAATGATGGTGATTTGGAAGCAATGAGCAATGGGTCATCCAGTGTTACAAATAAATCGCCATTGTTGAAATCTAAATCTACTAACATTCAAAGCATCTTATCAGCAGTTGAAATTGAAGAATTTGAAAATGTTTATCGTCATTTATATACTGTTGCCAATTTCCATTGGTCTGTATTTGGTTCATATTATATTGATTCATTAGGTGATAAAATGAAAGCTAGTGGTGTCTAATCTAATTAAACATTAAACCTAAGGATTTGAATGTTTTGAATAATTAGGGACAAATATAAATACAACAGATAGTCAAGCAGGTACTCAAGAGGATGAAATAAACTTGATGGCATATTATCAATGCCATACCAATGATAAGTGTTTTCTTTTTTCCTCTCTCTCTTTTAACCCTCTTCTACTAAATTATACCCATAAGGTTACTTATATTAATTTAAGTTATGCTATGTTAAGGATACAATTCATAACAATGTTATTAGTTTAGTTTGTGCTTTGTTGTTTTTCCTTCTTACTTTAACGGTTCACAATAAAAAAATATATTTATTAATTAATTCTCACAGAAAATAGTACAAGTTAATACCCAAGAATTGAAAAAATATAATAAAAGATAAAATCGAAAAATCGAAACATTCCCATTAACTTTTTTCACGTCTATTACATTCCAAAGCACATTAAGATAAAAGTCAATAATTTTCCAACCATACATAAATCAACATGTATGTGTATTTATTTCATTTTCTTACATCCCCTCCATTACATGTTACATTACAAACATATAACAAATATTTCCTCTTTATTTAACGTTCCATAAATTGTGTAATAACTGATATACAAGTTAAAGCATATAAAAATAAAAGATAATGCCAATTAAATATATAAACCTAAATACATAATGACTGATAGCTGTAAGATAGACAGATAGACCGTAGGTTTGTTTATTCTGGTTTTGCATTTAATTCGAGAGCATAGCATTAACCACTTTGGAGAAATTAATTTCTTTGCCATTGCATAGAAAAATGACATCATATTATTACTTGTACCGCATTTTTAAAGTAAAAGACTGACTTGTCGCCGCATTCAACAACTCAGAGATGGTCTTCTGTACATAAGAATTTTGTCTATATTATATTACAGGTTTCAGAAATTATATTAGTTGTAATTCTGCATGCGTTCCTCTAAGGCTTCTCGCTAGCATTTTACAACTACATTCATTGGATCGATTCCATGATAATCAAAAGAAATCAAGAGTATCAATCGTATTATAATGAACGAAACTTTACCTATTACATACATAATTTTCGTTTTCGTTTTCTTTTTCCTTTTCCAATTTACCATTCCAACACAGTGTAACATACAGCATCTCACCCTCAATCCAAAATCCCAGTTAACAAGGTCAAGAGAAGTTGAGACATATGGAAGTGTTATATATATGTAACAAGCAATTTGAATTATGAAGACCCAGCAATTTAAGTGATAGCTAAGCTAAACCTTAACCTCGCTGAAGCTTAAGTAAACTGAAGTAGCATAATATCTTGGAAATAGCTATGCAAAAGCAACAGCTAAAATAAAAGTAACACTAAGAGTAAAAGTTTCAAACAGAGCTGTAGCGTTCCCCAGTCATTCCTAAGTTTGCATGTTTTTCCATTCACTAAGGTCATGGTAGTAAGTACTGGTCCTCCCTTTCTTATTCTGAAATTTCATCTCTTGTGTAACCATTTGATTAAATTCTAAATTTAAATCTAAAACTGCTGTACTTCTTAACCTTAAAATTTAACAAAGTGGATTAAATGGTTGAATTCGAAATCGAGTTCGAGTTCGAGTTCGAATTAGATTTCGATTTCGATTTCGAAAATAAGTTTCTATGAATAGAAATTATTTCTATATAGCATTTTTTTGTATTATTTATTAGGATATAGTGATCAGGAACCACTAGTTTTTGATAACTAGATCTTTCTAATAACTAGATCTTTCTGATATTCTTCCAGTTGGGTCTGATCAGGTCGAGTCGGGTCCTGTACTGTTGTCATTATCTTTATTATAATTTTGCACAAGTTTGATATCCTTTTGTTAAGTTTGATAGTAAATATATAGACACTGTTGGAATATATTGATATATTTTGAAAGGGAATTTGCTGATTCATTCTTATTAATTGTTTTAAAGGATTCTCGATTTTAAAACAGCGAAATAGATCCAAACTAGTGTGATTCCAGCCTCAATAGGGAAATAAAGCATTGATTATTAGATACTAAATCTTTTTAATCATTATATCTATTTGCATTTTCATTTTTAGATCTCCAGAAATCAATTCTTATTACATTTGAATCAAAATATTTATTTATTCTTTGGTTCTTCTTTAGATTAAGATTAAGATTAAGATTAAGAATAAGATTAAGATTAAGATTAAGATCGGAAATTGAAATATTTTGGAAACCAATAAAAGAAGAACTGAACTGTGGAGTGTTTTTTCAAATTGTTGGCCATTTAATTTAATTATTTTAATCAAAGTTAAAATATATACTCGTCATATTAAATACTTATGTCTTTCTATGACAAAAGACCTTCTCCCTTAGATAGTCTTAGGAATCAAGGAAATATATCTAATCAATATAATGAAACTAAATATCAACAGAATGATCCTTCCAATGTATTCTACAAGAGCGCAAACGATAGCTCGGTTTCTTTTGAAACAATTTTAACAACAGATAGATTATTGGATAAACTAGATTTAACCTCAGAGGACGAAAAATTATTACAACAAGCTTTATTAGAAGAGGAAGAAAAGAAAAAACAATTAAATGAATTACAAGATAAAGAAAAACTCATATCTGTTCCTGCGTCAGGATTCCCATCGTTAAGAAATAGAAACAACGTATCTTCGAGAACTGTGCCAACAATGAATACTGAACCTAGTTTTAATGATAAAAGTCTTAGTCTTCGAAATAATAAATCCTCTGGAAATGTACAACAGCATTTTTCCTCAAAATCAAGATACTCTTATTTTGTGGAAGAAGATAGTGATCATGAAGATTTTTTAAATAATATTCAAAACTTACCAAATAGAGTTATTAATCAAGATAGAATCCATCCATATAGAAACATCAGATATGAAAATTCTAAGATTAAACAAGTTTCAAATAATGAAAAATTAGTTGAATCAGACAAGCATCATGATATTAATAAACATAGAAAAAATATGGTAAATTTTGAAAAATATAGGTTTAGAAATCCGTTGTATCATAAAGGAAATAATAATCATAACATTGGCATATACCACGATAGTGGTCACCAAAATGAAGATTATACAGCAGATAAGAAGCATCCTAACACACATGGTCTTTTTAAAAATCAGAACTCGAGTAATCAAAAATCGTCATTGGAAAGAAATCAAAGAAGTATTAATTCGAATAACTCCAATAACTCATTTAGAGAAACATTATCAAAACCAAGCACTAATTCCTCCTTTGATAGTGATTTGTCTCTATATGGTCCTGCTTTTAAGGGTCAATCTACTTCAGATACAATAATGACACCCTCTCCTGCAACACCTGTTGTAAAAATAATCGATAGTTCGAGCTCTTTAGGGGATCTAACTAATCCAATTCCATCACACAAGACTCATAAAAAGAAATCTTCCTTTTCATTAAGGAATCTATTCAGGTCACCAAGATCAAGTAAGACTTCATTACACGCAGCTAATGAAGAAAGCTATTTCACCAATGTAAAAAGGAACTCGCCAGATCAATTGCATACTACAGATACACTATATATCGAAAAAAAACGTAACTCACCCATACGCCATGAGAGTTATACTAGAGAGGTGGGATATGGCAATAATAATGTAGAGCCTTCTAGAAAGAAGACAATGGGCCATATACGATCAGTTTCAGATATATCTTATGCTAAATCGAATTATTATTCGGAGCCTGCCCAGAGAGTTCAGAGCAGTCATACCATGACAAATGTTGAGGAAAGAAGGCTCTCTTTGGGAAGTTCTGTAAAGGAAACTTCTTATTCATTTATAACTCCAAAGAACTCATATGAAAACGATCCTGGCTTGGAGTTCAAGACGCCAATATTAAAATCAGAGCCAACCTTGGACTCTTCTAATGACATTGAAGAATATTTCGACTTTCAAGGAAATAATATAGAGAAGGCAATCCAAATGAGACAAAAAGGTAAAATTATAGAGTCTACTGAAAAACTTAGATTGGCCTGTTTGACAGGAAACAAAACTGCATTTTTATTATATGGCTTGGCATTAAGGAATGGTTATGGTACAGCGAAAAATTATAAAGCCTCATTTCATTACATTAGAGAAGCTGCGGGCATTCAGTCTGAAAATGATGAAATATTTAAACTTACAATAGATCCATTTGAACTAGAAAATGGATCATCTATACCCACTGAGGTGGCTGAACCTCTAGTTCCAGCATTATATGAATGCGGCATTTCATATCTAAAAGGATATGGGGTTCCACAACAAGACGAATTAAAGGGCTTAAAATATCTAGAAAAAGCAGGATCATTGGGTCATATTGACTCGATGTGTCTAAGCGGTACAATTTGGTCAAAACATTCAGACTTCCATGAGAAGGATATTAAAAGAGCAGCATCTTGGTTCCGTCTTGCAGAAAAAAGAGGAGCCAATCTAATAGGTTCGGAATGGATTCACAGGGATAAATACAAACGAATTTAGCCTGACAGAATTCAATCCAATTTTAAAATACTTTGCATTCAAAACAACAAAATCTAATTAATATCAAATTTCATTTTAATTAAATATTTTTTATTTCATTATATCAGTAGTTATTTAATTGTGTATGTAATACTAAATAAGGACTCCATTTTTTTATCTACTCAATTTCCTTGTTTCTATTCAAAAATGCCAAGAAACCATAAATATATAGAAATTGGTAATGTTTCTCGTTATTGAACTGACTCAATTCCTCTGCTTGTAATCATGTAGGATACTTCACTATCAGGTGCAAATGTTGAAAAAACGACTTTCATTGCTCTCTTCACTTGCCAAAATGCAGATGTGTCATTCCCTTTATACAAATGCATCTCACCTCTTCTGACCATTGGTGAGGCCTTATACATTTTCTTCAGCAAAAGTCGAGTTGATATATGATTGGACCATGATAGTCCTAAGTTAGGAATACGAGAATCGACTTTTCTTTTGTGTCCAGAATTTGAAGAAATTTCAATTTTAGGTCTATCCTTTACATTTGCTTTTGAATCTTTTGTATCTTCTTTGTTATTTTGACCATCAGCGTGTGACCAAAACTTCTTCTCTTCTGCCTTTATTAGTTTTTTCATTTCTTTCTCCACTAGCTGATAGTCTTCGTCATCGGATAATATTGCTGTCTCAGTAATCTCATTCTGAGATGATAAGGTGGGTTCGTTATATCTTTGCCTATATAAAATGCTTGAATCTTTCCATCCCACGATCCAACCAAGTTGGTATTCATAGTCTAATAGATCTTGTTGCATAGGTTCTGAAAGTTTTACTAGCGGTTTGTCACTAATTTGGTTTGTTACTATAACAGCAACATTATATTTCTTGGCTAAGAGCAATAACTTCTCAGCTAATATATCAATATAGTGCCTATTTTCCTGAGATTCTTTATATGAAGTACTCTGAAGCTCTACTCTCAAATGATGTGATATTGAATCTATGATTATAGCTTTAATTGAACCTTTACTGTTATCTAACAAAACTGGTAATTGAACATCAAGAATATGTTCTTGGTTGATTAAATCATTGCAACTAACTGTAAATATTTTCTCTTGAGAAACACCATTAGAAGAAAATGTTTCATTCGAATTTATAATTCCTTCTAATCTTTCAGTTGGAAGGTCACCTTCAGTGGTTATATATACTGATTTCCCTTCAAGTCCTCCTAAAGATTTAGGTAATTGAACACATAATGATAACAACATTGCCAATTGAGATTTCCCAGTTGAACTTTCACCATAAATCTCAGTAATACATTGTGTGTATATACCTCCTCCTAATGCTTCATCTAATCCTAAATCTCCTGTACTAAACAGTTCAGGAGCTTGCGACTTTGGCAGCAAAACTGGTTGAGATTTTTTATTGAATTGAGCTTCTAACTCCAAGATTAACAATCTTTGGAACTTTGCTACTTCATTGATTGATCTTCTTAGTAGCCTTGCCAAATCTCTGGCATTCAATGAAATAAACTCTACTAAGGAAACATTATATTGTATTGCAGCCTCTAAAAGCAGTGAAAATTCAAGCGTATCTAACAATTCACTCTTTGGCAGCTCATCGTACAGGTCCATTAGATATATTCAGCCAAATTGTAGTATCGTCGAATTGTTTACTGTAAGCATTAGTAAACAAATTCCCGGTTCTTCTTCTATCGAATATATCTGTTTGAAATACCAGTTTCCCTATGAGAACTTGAAGAAGATATTTGACCAATTATTAATAGCCATTCCTATTTTCAGATCGTATTTAAAAGCATTTTATGATTAGATGCCTTATGTATTAAACGCCAAATCTTTAATGTTTGTTTTAACATTTTTGCATTACGCAAGGAAGGGTAAATTCATATGGTGAACTTCAAGATGTCAGTATGCATTATTAGCTAGTGAAGTTTATCATTAAAAAGGTTATGATTTGTTTGAAATGGATTCCAGACTAATAGCGTATAACATCGAATTGAAATATTATAATGGTGATGTTTTATATATTTATTACAACCAATTGGATCTGTCTCCAGAATTTTTTCTTTTCAATTAGAGGTAAAAACGACATAGAATATATATATATATATTATGCTTAAAAATATGGATCTACCGATATTACTCATAATTATTACTGTATCATTTCATAATTAACGTTAATGATTAAATATGTTTTTATTTAAGCAGTCGCATTTTCTCCAATGATGATTACGGCATTAGTTTTATCCATAATATTACTTCCTGAGTGACAGTGATACTATGTTTATATGATAGTAATATCATTTCTACAACCTGTTTTACTATTAGATATGGATAACATTATCTAAAAGTGAGCTATTTTATGAGAATATCAAAAAGGATTATAATAGAATAGAAATAGAGAAATATTAATATTTTGAAAGCAATTTTTGTAGTTGGAGCAACTTACTGGCCTAAGTAAAGAATAAAAATATAACATTTCAAAACAAAATATAAATTTCCTCTGATTTTATTGTTAAATTAAAATTGATTTATGGTAATGGCATTATATTTTAAGTATATACTGAATATAGTAATTATTATTATTGTTAGTTGGTAATATCTATATCTTTTTAGAGGAGTAATTAACATAATTAATTAATATATATATATAATTATACAGAGTCAACCACAATCGCTTGGTTTTCTACTAACACAATGTTAGTTTGTAGTCATACTGATTTAGACAACATAAAAATTAGATAGTGAATATCATATGGGGGCATAATCTAGATTTGAAATTTCATTAAAATAAATCCGTAATAATAAGAACTAAAATAGAAGTTTGAGGGAAAGGGAAAGGGAAAGGGAAAGGGAAAGGGAAAGGGAAAGGGAAAGGGAAAGGGAAAGGGAAAGGGAAAGGAGATTGAAAGATAAATTGGGTATAATGGAAATAAATGCGTTTCTAAACTGTCTATACTTTTTAACAATCAAATTTCATCATGTTTCATGTACCTTTTCTGTCGCAGACAATTTTCCACTGCTCGTAGCCACTGAAAAGGCTAAACCTCCAGATGAACTCGGATCCGATGGTTCTGAATCGATATGATTCAAATTATTATTTGTAATTGAATTGCTTGCTGTAGTAAATGTTGTATCTCTTCTAAATTGTCTATCAAAATCAAATTCTGAAGAATCCCCATCATGAACAACAGCAGGCGGTGGAACAGGAATTGACTGATCATGGCCATTCATAGGTTGTCTGTTCATTTCAGAATCCAAGACAGGAGGGGCCACATATTCTGCTTCTTCATTCGGTATAAACTCACCACGCTGATTAAAATGGCCTAAATCTTCAGTATTAGCCTTCTCTGTATAAGTTGGGACAAAATCCTCAACAACTCTCCCTGAATTACCATTGTATTCTCTTTGTGATTGTCTATAAGTTGGAGGGGTTAACCAAGCTGTACCTCTTATAGGAGCCCTCCCTGTTTGAGATCTTCTTCTATTTATTAATAATGTACTGATTAAGAATACAATTAAGGCTAAACCGAATAAAGCAAATAGAATCCATCTACCCCATTCCCAACCAGAACCGTCACCCCAGCCATACCATACTGTATCCCTCTTATCCAAAACACCTAAACAACCATTTGAATGGTTAATGGGACTCATGAACTCCTTCTTATATAAGCAAATGTATTAGGAAGATGTTTTGATATACTCAAATTCTTACTAATAATAATTTTTTTTATGGAACCTTATCAAATTAATCTCTTTTAAAAGCTATCAGTAATAACAAATATCGTCGAATTTATATCCTTAAGTAAGTATTACTTTAAGGAGTTGATACATTCTCTAAGATAAGTTAATTATATTACCATGATTAATACCTTAAACATAGTAAAAGTTATAATTCAATTAAAGTAACAGGAGATGATGTAGTCTTGTTTAATTTATAATAATAGAATTATCTAGCCCTTTCACGGCTTAGACACAATTAATTTTTAAGAAACAGCTGCAGAACGAAAAGAGACATCAACGTATGTATAAGCCATATGACGTAATTGAATTAAAAAAAAATAGGCCGATTGATTGTAAAAGTCACAACCTATAATACATTATCGAAGGTAGCCTCATGTTAAACCAATTGTAATCATAATTGAATCATTGATATTAATCAATTCGACAAAAGAAAAGCATAAAATATTCACAAATGTGAATCATTATAACAACTTTCATCATTTTAAGTAGAACAACAGTGCAAAAAGTATTCAAAATTATTGAACGTCACAAATGTAACACACTAAAAGTTCAAATTTACCAATTATATATTTAATAAAGTTATATAAAAGTTATAGGAAGATAATCATTTCATTTGTTTTTTCAACTAAGTCATGTTTTATCATAGTAGATTTAGTTCATATAATTATTCTACTTCTGGTAAACAGTTTTTCGTCAAAACCATTTCTATTAATCAGCTACCTAAAAAGTATGTCTAAAGTAATGCCTATCTTTCTAAATTGTCACAGTATTTAACTTCAATCACTGATAATATACTAACTCATATTTCTTTAATAATACTAATATTTGTGTTTATTTTTTAAGCTATTTACAATTATTTATATCTCAGACATGACTGGAAAACCAACCAATTAATTTTAACTAAGATATGTTATATGTTATATGTACGAGTAATCGAGTTCCAATAAGCCAAACTTCAAATTGCTTTTAAGTATACTTGCTTTATTCTATAGGCCAAATGCAAAAAAAATCATGTACGTTGCATGCTAATAATAGTTTCCCATCAATTTTTAAACCGAATCCTTTAGAAATTGCACAAACAAAATATTCTAGATTAATCTTAATGGCAATTTGCTCTTTTGTGTATAATATAGGTAGATTAAATAGTAATACCAGAATTATTTCTCCATGAAATTTCGAAAAGAATTTAAAGGTAAGAAAAAAGATAAGAAGCAATTTTGTTTATAATCACTACTTTCTTCTTGACAAAATAGTATTAGTTAAGAATTCCAATGCAGATCTAGCATCAGATTCAGGGAATGAACTTCTTAAATTAGCCAATGCAGCATCTCTATACTTTTCCGCTAACTCTTTTGTCTTTTGAACACCGTTATGTTGAATGACAGACTTAGTAGCAGCTTCAACATCTCCTGGTTGTGTGAAATTTCTTAAAATTAACTCGGTTAAAGATGGGTCTTCTCTCCAAGCGTATAAGACTGGAGCGGTAGCAATACCCAATTTTAAGTCAGCTCTTGCTGGCTTACCTAAATTTTCGGATGAGACAGTAAAATCTAACATATCATCTACTAATTGGAAGCAAATACCAAGGTTCTTACCATATTCATAACATGAATCAACTACTTCAGGACTAGCACCAGATAAAATAGCAGAACTTCTACATGCCATCGAAATTAAAGATGCAGTTTTCAAGTAGGTTTTATGTAGATAGTATTCGAATGCAGTATTTATCATCGCATCTTTACTTGTGAGTAAGTTATCATTAATTGGTACACGATAATCATGAAGGTCATTTGTAAATTTCCCTATAGAAGGAGGTAATTCTTTTCTTCCTTCGTCAATTGTATTTAAATTATTATCAACGGCGGTATTTTTCAATTGCATGAATTCACCTTCAACTAAATTTGCTATACTATTTGACATTAATTCAACTACTTCTGGATTTCTTAACCTTGATATAGAGACGGTTGCTCTACCTAATAAAAAATCACCGGCTAAAACAGCCATTTTATTTGTGAATGCTTTATTACCGCTTGGCCTACCTCTTCTTGTTTCTGAATGATCAATCACATCATCATGCAATAAAGATGCTGTATGTATCATTTCAACGATCTCTGCAAGTCTTCTTTGTTTTGGTAAGATGCCGTTATCATTATCGAATGAAGCTTCAGGAATCGGTTCAGGACCTTTAGTTAAAGGATTTAATGGTTTTATACCATGTAAGATATGTAAAGGGGAGATATTTGACAAAGGATTTTCTAAAATAGTTAATTGTGGTGGTTGTGAATAAACTGGGTCATCTGGAATATCTGATTTATCTATTTTTAAATTATTTCTTTCATTAATTGGTATAGTTGATAAGGCTTTTGAAATTAACAAAACCAATAAAGGACGAACTTTTTTGCCTTCAGCTTCGAAATAGTAACTAGTGACTCTATTCAAAGTTGGATGTCCTGAACTAATCAAACCCATTACATGTTTTGCTAAATTATTCATTTCATTTGAAACCAATGAAATTGGGTTTCTTAACATGATTTTTGGAGTTACCAATTTACTTGCAGCAGCAATTGCCGATGCAAATGAAGATTTGTAACGATGGCATTTTAAGTGAGTTATTTTTGAATATAGAGAAGGATTTGGTCTCAACATATTAACAATAATATTAATCTTTTACCTGTATCTTTCTTTCTTATTTTTGCTTCTTTCTACTTGGTTAAACTCACACAGTAAGAGTAATTCGATAAATATTGTAGTGGTATATGACAATGATAAAGACCAGAGATATTAAAGAATATAGCTTTCACTACCAATGCAAATAAAACAAAGATGAATGGTAAGTACAATCAATCAATAAGTCAATTCAGTTAGTTAATCAAAGATACCAAAAAAAAAAATAAAAATAAAATTCAATTCTCTTTTCTGATGACTTGCTAAAGTATTGAAAACTTTGATATAGAATAATTGGTAAATATTTATAATGTGTAAGTAATAATTCACTTAATCCCTTATAAAATTGACTAAATTATGTTGAACTGATGAGAAGAGATGTGTATATATCTAGATACTTTTCACTTTTCACTTTTCACTTTTTACTTTTTTAAGTCTTATTATTATTATTATTATTATTATTATTATTATTATTATTATTATTTTTTTTTAACTTTATTTTTAAATTGATGGTTTAAATTTTCTGAATGGCTTCTTAAGCTGCAATTTTCAGCTTTTTTTAGAATAGTCTCTTGTCTGATCTGAGGTAGCAAGCAAGTCAGCAAATCAGGCCATAAATTACAAATTATTTTAGAATTGAATTGAGTTACAGTCATAAAACCTATGGTGGGTTGTCGGTGTCCCTTAGATCCAACACTACCTGATCTATTTCTTGATTTTAGAATCCTGGGTTTCTGGGCTTGCCCAGGATGTAGTTGTAGTTGTAGTTGCAGAAATGGTTGACAGTTCCAAATGATGGGGGAGAGACCCCTGCTTTCCCCTGGGGAGGTGTAGAGCATAGGCGATGGGGTGAATATGCTATGGATATTCATGCAATTTTGTATGCGTATATCATATCATATCATATCATATCATACTATACGAAGTGGGTGGTGATAGTGATGGAGGATCGGTACAGAGAGGTGTGGAAGGTTGGGAACTATGCTACAGACTAGCCACCAACCAACCAAACGTTATAGTGCAAGAGTTAATATGCGATCGAAAGCAGAGGGGTAAAAGAGGAACCTAATCTCAAATAAGATTAGGCGGTGAATTTATCATTTTGTACTAAGGGGAAGAAGTGGAAAGCTAGTCCCCAAACTGGCAAGGTGCTGTCGTGCAAAGAAACACCAGAGCTAACGGTGACTCCCCTACGCTCCGCTCCCCTATACGTAGTGTGTTGTGTTACCCGCAACGTCCACAATCAGACGGGGTTTAGCTGTATGTCTACAAACAGACACAAGAGACACAGCACATATCTTATCGTGTTACACGTCATACATACACATATGAACATTTACACATCAGCACTAACCTTCCCAAAATACCAAAATCAGCCCAAAGCCAATTCAATCCAATCCACCTCAATCCACTTCACTTCAAATGAACGAAATATGTTACGTTGCAGTTGCAGTTGCAGTTGCACTTTGATATGATTTTTTTTCATCTTTCGACTTTTCTCTCTCTCTCTTAACGTTTGTCGTCGTCAGTACAGAGAAACTGATTCTGCCTATGAACTGACAAGAAAAGAGGAACAAGTAACCATTTTCAGAATCTCTTTTCAAGTTGTCTTGTCTTGTACATTCTATATTGTGTAGTGTGTTCTGTTTGTCTTAGGCAAACTCTCGATTTATGAAACATCGAATACTATTTTATTTTGTTCGAAAATAAGGGTACGCCATTGAAACAAACACTATTGACGTTCGAGTTCTTGCCTTTCCCCCATCGCAGATAGGTCTGCTCTTGCACTACATTTTATTTATTTATATCACAAGTTTTTTCATTTTATATACACTCGTAAAACACATACACACATACACACATACACATATATATATATATACATACATATCTGTATCCACATATAATCTCACCTCTACTACTGTTCCTACCACTTATTCCCACTTGTTACTGTCATTTTTTTGATCTTCATCTGACTTTTTTTTTTTAGCATTATTAATATAATACTAACACTATTTTTTAGCCATCAAGAAAAATTGAAAAAAGCTTAGAATATCGAAAATACTAATTCGTTAAGATAAAAAAATTTAGAAATTGAAATATACAATTTATATTTTACAAAGTGAAAAGTAACTAAATTGCATTCAACATCTATTTATAATATACCCTTTATTATCACCATCATCAATTTATTCTTATAGAATTAATTATATTACACTACATTGGTTTTCCTTCTTCATTTTTTTTTTTTTAATTTTTTAATATTTTAATCTTTTTGAATTAATTAATTATTTAATTAATTAATCGAAATCCAATATTATTGCATTTGCTTCAAAAATTATATTTATACTAGTAAAATCCTTTTCTTTCTTTTATTGAATAAAAGGAATCCCAAAGAAAAAGGTTATAGCTAACACTTACACATATTGTTCTATTGCATTTCAATTTCCAATTCTCTCTACTAACCCTTTTTGATCACAATGAATAACTACAATTCCAGTTCAGACACTTCAATGCCTATGATATTCCTCAAGAATTTGTTTTCAAAGACAATTAGAACTTCAAACTGTGTTCCAAAACATGTAGGTTTCGTCATGGATGGTAATAGAAGGTATGCTAAAAAAAAAGATATAGAAATAAAAGAGGGACACGAAGCTGGATTCTTAAGTATGAGTAAGATTTTAGAATTATGTTACGAATCAGGTGTAGAAATTACAACTGTATTCGCATTCTCAATAGAAAATTTTAAAAGAAGTTCAAAAGAAGTAGATCATCTAATGAAATTAGCTAGCGATAGAATAAGGCAAATTACAGAACATGGCGACTTAGCAGAAAAATATGGTATAAGAGTTAGAGTGATAGGTGATTTGTCTCTATTACCAACTGATGTCCTAAAAGATATAGAATTAGCAACTGAAATCACAAAAAATAATAATAGAGCCACGTTAAACATCTGTTTCCCATATACAGGCAGAGAAGAAATATTCCATTCAGTTAAAACTGTTTTATCACAAAATTTATCAGGTAATGAAATTAATGAAAAATTACTCGATTCAAATCTATACACTAGTGGTTTACCTCCATTGGACTTATTAGTGAGAACTAGCGGTGTCACAAGACTGAGTGATTTCATGTTATGGCAAGTGATTAACCATGATGTTACAATAGAATTATTGGATTGTTTGTGGCCAGAATTCGGCCCTATTAGAATGGGATGGATTCTATTGAAATTCGTATTTAACAAGTCATTTACTAACGTAGGTAGTAAAACCGGCGAGGAGTATGACGGTGAATTAAATGAAACTAATGGTGTAAAGGATGACAATAATCAAGTATTAAATAAAAAAAAGAATTAATAGGTAAAACAAAACATATATATGTTAACAGAATGCACGAAGACACGTTAATGTATATATATAGATAGACATGCGAACCTTATAAAAGTTAATAGTGACAGTAATATTATTTACAAAATTTGCATTTTAAATCAATGATTTATTTCTTTTTACTGATTATTTTAAAAATATATAGTAATACATGAAATTATAGACTAAATCGAATTGATTGTATAATATAACACTTTTATAACCTTATGCCTCACCTTTTTGCCCATTTGTAGCCAATAATTTAACTTATGCATTTATTTTGATTTCAAATTAATCATAACCATCAAACCACTATACCAAATTTTCGATAATAAAAACATATATTATCGAAATTCACTATTTACACCAAATGCCCTCTTTCTACAACCTCTAAAATCGAGATACCTATTATTTAATGTCATTTCCAAGATTTTTCTATTTAAATCACGACAGGTTGATCATTTGACAACTATCGGAGTCTTTTTACTGATAATGAATGCGTCTGCCAATATAAACCTGACAAGATAACAAAGTTAGGCCCAGAATGGTAGCTGATACACAAAGACCAAGTATCATTATTTCAAAATATAGATTATTTTTAGCAACACTAAAAAATGCGTCATATTATGCCAAAGAATATTATAGTCTAATTTGATTGTATATTGCGACACTTCGACAAATCTTCTGTAAACATATGTGAGTGTACCGAATCTGAGGTGAAACCATTTATGTAAAGGGTTCAAAAATAATAATAATAATAATAATAATAATAATAATGTGACTCTATTTATTTCACAAGATTTCTTCAGCTTGAAATTATCTGAAAAAGACTAATCAATCGAATAGTAATTATTATTTTGTGGGTTAATGTATTTTTCCGCCTATCACCAGTAGCAATAAGCCAAACCTAGCATACCAAAAAATCCCTCCAAGAATTTTTAATCTTTCAGAAATAAATGGTAGCTTATCATTGCACTTTACTGACAACTACTCGATATTCAATCGTGAGTGGTTTAAGAAGAGACTGTCCAAAAAAGTAAAAACCTCAATTAAACTATATTTATTTTTAGAGCCAAGCAAAATAGTAATGGGAAAAAGAATAGACTAAAAGGGAACATGCATTTAGTGATTCAAAAATTTCGTGGTAATATTATCATTTGTGGTTTCTTGAAGTTCCTTTTAAATATTTTTCTTCTTAAAGTCAAGACAACTATGCCAATAAATAAAGACACTATACACCATATCTATTTCTTTTTGAACCCAGCTAGAGACAATGTTGTCAAAAAAAGGAAATTTAATAGGACGAAAAGAGTATAAAAAATGATCGAGACAACATATTACTACTTATACTCGGTTCCAGTTTATCTTTCCTTTTACCTTCATATTCTTTTTTTTTTTTGTGTAGGTTCCTTTTTTTGGGATCCTTATGACAAGAAGAAACACAGTCTGAGAAGATCAGAAAGATGATGGATGGGGTGGATAGCTTTGGCGACTTGATTTAATCAATCTCCTTCTTTATTTTTTTTTTTTAAATTTCCTTTCCTACAACAAGAGATCAAGAAATACCATTTCGAAATGAACATTCATAAACCATACATTCATCTTTGGAAAAGAAAAGACAGTGTCTATTTCTAGATACTTTTTACGTGCTTCCTTTTTTTTTCTTTTTTGAATGATTGAATAGGTGTTTCTACTTGAAGTTGTTAGAAAAACCCATCCATCAACTTTTCCTTTTAGTTCCTTTTAGTTCCTTCTTTTCCGCCATTCTCCCTTTTTTCTTTTTATTGTTTCTTTTTGGATAAAGAGAACCGACAGACTGACAGAAACAGTAAAAAACAACAACCCATCGATAGTGTGTATCTAGCTACAACTAACTATCTTTCTATCCGTCTATACAGACTCATACCTAAATACCTCTTCTCATCACACATCAATATCCATCGATAGTATAAAAATCTATTCAAAATCGATGCTACTTTCAATCAAATTCTTTTCACTTCTATCATAACATTTAAATCAATATATCTATCTATATATCTATATGTCTATATATCTATATATATAGAGATTCGTAAAATATAGGAAACAGTAATCTCCATCCTAAACCTTAAATTTAAAATCGTTTAGATTAGATAAAATACAATTAAATCTCTCGAACTTTTAATTTTTTTCATTCTGTGTGATTTTTAAAAATTGGTGGTATTATAAAACATCGAGAGACAATTCTTCCGATTTTTCGTTTTGATCGTTTTTTTAAGGATATCGACATATATTTTTTTTCCCAGTTAGTTTTGTTATTATTAAAAAAATTTCCCTCTAATAAACAGAATCCTGTTATAGAAACGTTTAAGGGGGCACTTAGCAATTTATAGATAATAATAATAGAATTTAATTCCTAAAATATAAGATAATACACCATACTATAATATATTTTCAAAAAATCTTATACACACGGTTTTTAAAACTATCAACTAGATCTAACTAAATTCTATCGCTACTGCTGGCAAATTTTTTTTATTCAAAAAGTTTTTCGCAATAAGAGTAAAGAGTAATAACAGACTTCGGTATATTATTATTCTATCATCATCATAATTAAAGGAGAGAAAAGGGATAATAAGTTAAATTTATAATTTTTTCTAAATTGCATAAATTTTAACACCCCTTATTATTATTAAATAGTTGCTCATTTTTCCTATTGAACATTTCTTTTAATAGTATAAACTTCTATTAATATCATTTCCCACCAACATATTGTTCAAGATTAAAGGCAACATTTCTTTAAGATCTATTTCTTTCACAATTGGGAAAATACCAAAATATCAAAAAATATTGAGGTAATCGTAACATCTCAATATATTTTAGGCAATACTAAGGTGTGGTTTTCATTACACAATTTTGGCATAGATAAAAGGTAGAAATTTTTTCAATATTTTATACCTTTCAATCGCTTTTACGTTCGTTACATTAAGGTATTTATTTTAAAATAAACCAGGTATTGTACGATTTAAAAATCCTTGATAGTGTCCAATAAATTATAAGAAGAATAAAAAAATACGAAAAATATTCAGAAATTAAAAAGAGGCTTCAATTTTATTCATTTTAGAGATTTTATTCTAACATTAATTTAGCTAACTATTTTTACCGTCGCATTATAAAACAAAATCCAAAATGACTGTTTCTAGTTCTGCTATTATAGATGGTCCAGTTTTAACATCCACTATGGAGCCAATTGTTAGGCGTAGAAGTAGAAGATTATCTTCATTGAAAGAGTTCAATGATCCCTTCTCAAATGCCGAGCTCTTTCATGGTCCCGAAAACAATCCTTTCAAGACTAAATCAAGATTATCGAGAACACGAACCTATAGTGTTTTTGATGCAGTTTCATCTAACAAGCTAAAAGAAAATAGAGAATTTCCATTGAAGAGAAGGGGATCTGAAGATAACTCCTTCATAAGTAGTAAAGGTAATCGTAGATTTTTCATTGAAGATGTTGATACAACATTAGATGAACTATTAGCTAACGAGGATACGGATCAAAATTATCAAATTACCATAGAAGATAAGGGCCCAAAAGTTTTGAAAGTCGGTACTGCTAATTCGAATGGTTATAAGTTCATCAATGTTAGAGGTACTTATATGCTTTCTAATTTATTGCAAGAATTAACACTTGCTAAAAGGATGGGCAAGCGCCAGATATTCCTGGACGAGGCTCGTATCAATGAGGATCCAGTTAAACGTCTAGAAAGATTGATCTCTAATCAATTCTGGTCCAACTTAACAAGAAAAATAGATTTACAAAATGTCGCTGAAATTGCTAGTGATTCAAAAATTGATACACCTGGTGCAAAAAATCCTAGAATTTACGTACCTTACAATTGTCCTGAACAATATGAATTTTATGTTCAAGCTTCTCACATGGATCCATCTTTGCAATTAGAAGTTGAGTACTTACCTAAAGACATAACTCCAGAATTTGTGAAATCATTAAATGGTATTCCAGGTTTGCTTGCTTTGGCAATGGAGACACATTTTGACCCAACAACTGGTGAACAGACATTGCTTGGTTATCCATATGCAGTCCCGGGTGGTAGATTTAATGAATTGTATGGCTGGGATTCATACTTAATGACCTTGGGCCTGGTTGAAAATGGTAAGGTCGATGTAGCCAGAGGTATGGTGGAACACTTCATATTCGAGATTGACCATTATGGAAAAATTTTGAATGCTAATAGAAGTTACTATTTATGCAGATCACAACCACCTTTTTTAACAGATATGGCACTGACAGTGTTTGATAAAATTGGTGGTGACAACAACCCAAATGCAATTGACTTCTTAAAGAGAGCATTTAAAGCTGCCATAAAAGAATATAAAACTGTTTGGATGGCCCATCCAAGATTGGATGAAGAATCAGGACTTTCATGTTATCATCCAGATGGTAAAGGTATACCCCCTGAAACAGAATCTGATCATTTTGATACAATTTTGAAACAATATGCCATGAAATACAAAGTTTCGATAGATGAGTTCAAAGAATTATATAACGAAGAGAAAGTTGAAGAGCCTGCATTAGATGAATTTTTCCTGCATGATAGAGCAGTGAGAGAATCCGGACATGACACTACTTATCGTTTCGAAGGTGTATGCGCATATTTGGCGACGATAGATCTCAATTCTTTATTGTATAAATACGAAGTGGACATTGCAAATTTTATAGAGAAGTATTGCGATGACAAATATACAGATAATTCCGATGGAACTATATCGGATTCTCAGCATTGGAAAAATCTGGCTTCTGAAAGAAAGGAAAGAATTAATAAATATTTATGGGATGAATCATCAGGATTCTTTTTTGATTATAATGTAAAACTTAAGGAAAGGACATCGTATGAATCTGCCACATCATTTTGGGCTCTGTGGGCTGGTTTGGCAACCCCTGAGCAGGCTAAAATAATGGTTGAAAACTCTTTACCGAAATTGGAGGTATTAGGAGGTTTAGTAGCATGCACTGAAGCTTCAAGAGGTCCAATATCCGTCGATAGACCTTCAAGACAATGGGATTATCCGTTTGGTTGGGCTCCTCACCAAATCCTTGCATGGAAGGGACTTTCAGATTATGGATATAATGGTGAAGCTACCCGTTTGGCGTATAGGTGGTTATACGTGATGACTAAGTCATTTGTAGACTACAACGGAATGGTTGTCGAAAAATATGATTTGACAAGAGGTACAGATCCTCATAAAGTGGATGCAGAGTACGGTAACCAAGGTTCGGACTTCGAAGGTGTGGCTACAGAAGGTTTTGGTTGGGTCAATTCCAGTTATATTCTGGGATTGAAGTACATGAACAGTCATGCAAAAAGGGCATTGGGTACCTGTATACCCCCAATGCCATTTTTTAAAAGTTTAAGACCTGAGGAAAGGTCAAACTATGGACTATAATCAAGTTAGGGGAATTACCAGTATATATTGAAAGTAATAATAATAATACATATATCTTTTAATTTAATGGTAAATAAATATTCAATATTAAAAGTTCTGGAGTAACAAGTAATTGGAACCTGCTTTCCAGTTCAAAGTATAAATTTTAGTTAATAAAATATTTTGTAGACCATTTTCTGAGCATTTTACCATAATAATTCTTATGTTGAGGATATTATCGTAACTAAGTACTAAAATAGAATAATCTTTTATCCAAATACATAAAATGTGTTCGGAAACTATAGTGCGAAGTTAAGTAATAATATAGAAAAAGTATTTATTTTATACTAATATTGAAAAAATAGATAAAGAAAAGATTTTTATAATATGTGATCACCTGATTTGATAAATGAGGTTCCTACTCAACCAGGTTTCCTTGATGTCATTAAAGTTATATGTTGTTCGAAATAGATTTGTTTTGTCATTATTGGCTAATTTTATTATATTTTTATTATTTATCGATTATACATTTTTGTATTTATTTAAGTGAATTAATATTGTTTTATATACATATTGGTCATTTGCCTTTTTATTTTTTAACTATCAAATAATTGGCATATTTTTATTTCATAACTGAACTTAAAATAGTATCCGTATTATATTTTGAAAGATTTTGAAAGGACTAATTAGGGAGCTATTAATAGAATCTTATAATTATAATCTTTTTTGATATCTTTCAGTCTTCGAATGAAGTTAAAATATTGTCCAATGGGATTCTTTGGGAAATCGTCAAGATTAGTTATATATATTTTAAAAAGCCCTTAATAGTTCACCCACCCGTATTATATAATCCGTGAGATGTGAAACGGGATATACAAATAGGGAAGAAAAATACATTTAAGAAATCAAAAAAATCAAAAAATTACAATATTTTATTTATAACAACAGTTTGAATTGACTTAGATAATTTTTGTTAATTAACTACATAGAGAACCAAGATATAAACTTCGATTTAATTAAGATAACAATGCCAAAAATTTATTGTCTAGCTGATATTTGTATGGTACCAATTGGAACTGGATCAGCAAGTGTTTCTGATTTTGTCACAATGATAGAAAAGAAAATTCGTGAAAGCAAACTGAAGAGTACATTACATAGTGCAGGTACTACAATCGAAGGTCCATGGGATGAAGTGTTCACATTAATTGGCGAATTACATGAATATGCCCACGAACAGGGAATAGTCAGAATTCAATCGGATGTAAGAATCGGAACTAGAACTGATAAGCAGCAATATGCACAAGACAAGGTTGATATAGTCCTAAAGAAGTTAGAGGAACAGAAATGATGATTTAAATGATGCTTCAAAGTATAACTTCACCTTTAGAACCACCTAAATTATAGTTACTAGTAATGTTTTTAGAAATGCTGCGATGAATATGAATTAAACATTTGATTTTGAAATTAGAAACATAGGGTTAACTAAATTCTATAACTAAGTTAATTAAATGAAGTATAAATAATTTTACTTAGATATAATATATATAATCCTATTTAAAGAAAGTCAAATATCATTCGTTCAAGAATAACTACACCGCTTAAACTAATGAGTACTGAATGAATAAAATGACTAGCATTAACAAAACCATATCCAATTAACCATATTATTTATATCTAATTTATGTTCTATACTCTCCTTGTCTTATTTTTTCTTTGATAAAATCCACTGTCATCCTTCTCATGCTTTCTCTTTTCCCTAGATCTAGCATGCTTCTTTAACTTTCTCTGTGCGGCAATATCTGGAGCAGTCACAGCTAAAATCGATCTTTTTGTTCTTCTCTCTCTTCTTCTCTTCATTACAGTTTGTTTGACAGAGGTATACGATTTGGTGAAGTCAGACACAGTCATTTTGACCTCTAACATTTTTAAACATTCTTGAGCAAGGTCTACTAGTTCCTTATCCTGATCCTTTAACCTATTATTTTGATCAATTTCTGTATAAATGAATAGTGGCAACATGATTTTTTCCGATTCATCTAATAGTTGAGTTTCATTCATTAGCTGCACCATCATTGCCAACAATTGTATAGAAGACTTCTTGGACATAAATGAATCATTTGGATTCTCTTCACTTCTAATAATTGCTGATGCTCTAGATACCATGTAATCTAATGCACTGGAATAAGAAGGTGTCTTCTCTTCAGTATCACCATCTTTTGAAATGAATTTAGTGTTATGGTCTTTCCATCTAATTACAATTTTAACTAGCGTCTTGATAGCAACTGTAGATAAATTTTCAGATATTGATGGAGCTGATAGTTGGTGCATGATTCTTGATACAATTGTTTGAATTTCAAAATCAGTAAACTTAACTTCAAACTTTTCTAAATTGTTAACAACTTGATTCACCAAACGACTGGCAGACAAACGAACCCAGGTATGCGGATATAATAAACATCCAATGATATTATCCCAAGTTCCTTTAAAGTCGGAGCCGTATACACTCTCTGACTTTTCAGAAATGATTGTAAATACAGATAATGCAGAATATACAGTATCCCATTCAATGGAAGAGCCAACACCAGTTTGAGATATTATGGTTTTGACTCTAGTAACTGCCAATTCATCCAACACTAGATTGCTTCCTAGACCAACACTACTTGCATAGATCTTATAGATACGCAAACTTAGATTTAGGAAAGAAGGGTTGTCAGACTGCTTAAACCATGAGATTATGTACTTTTCAATTGTATCCAAACTTGAAGCGTTGACTTTTTGCAACAAGTTAGCCAATAACACAGAAGCCATCTCTCTACATTTAGGACTGTCATCATTAAACGAGACATTTGCTAAAGCTACAAAAAATGACGATGAAAGCTTGGTTAACAAGACTTCATTAGCTTTCATCACAATCAAATTTATTAGTTCCATTATAGATTGACGACCATCCTGCGAAGGATATTGTAAATTATCCACCATGAACTTGAATTGCTTTTCTAAACGGCCCTTACTTTGATCGTACTCCATCAAGAATTGATAGTATACACTTCTTGAAACATCTCTGATTTCTTTAGAGTGATTAGTAACAACTATTTCTCTAACTGAATCAATCACCTCGTACAGCTCTGGCAGCATGACATGCTTGGATATCAACGCCTTCAAAAAGTTGAATGCTAGACCTTGTTTACTAGGTTCATTTAAGTCAGGTAAAATTCTACCCAAGACATAGCTCAAAGCAGTGTCTTTTAATTTTATATCTTTATGACGCATGAAGGATGACAAAAACTTTAAGCCCATCTGGCATAATTCAGTAGATGTTGAAGGGGAATCTTTAATTATGTTCAATACTTTTCTTGCACAATTCTTGAAAACCGGTTCTGATTCATCGCTGAAGTCCAATTTAATCAATAGAATCAGTACACGTAACGTACTTACCAACACACCTTCATTTTCAGACTGCAGCGACGTTTTTAATAGAGGAATGAACCCATCTAGGTAAGCAACATCAAGCAGATTTGAATGTTTTGAAAGTATGGTTTTTAGTAAATCAAGAGAAAAACGCTGCAAAGTATCAATATATAGTGAACTTTCGACTTGGACTTTCACACCTTTGCTATTCAAATTAACCAAGAAAAATTCTTCTTTTTCATCTATTTCAGTCTTCTTTTGACTTTTACGGTTAATAGCTGGTTGCTGGGACTGTTCAAAGATTTCATAGCATAATTTCAGAACATCTGTTTTACCTGTATCGCTATTGTGGTTTAGACCTAACGCGTATCTTCTCAAAAGTTCATCTAATTTATGCTGACTTTTTAGGTTCATCTTTTCCATCAATAATGCCTTCACAGGTGACAAAACGGTATTGAATATAGGTAGAGAAATATTCGATGACAAAATTTCACCAGTGTCGTAACTTCGGTTTACCTTAACTTCTTTAATCTTCGTATTATAATTATCAGAGTCCTTTTCCTGACCAGCGGTTCCGAAGATATCCTCCATAATGACATTAACAATCATCTTGGCAGAAACATCTAAATCGCCATGATTCAAGTATTCTTCCAAAGCCTTCAAAATATGGTGTATTGTGTAACTTAAAACGTGTACCTGAGAGCCTCTCCTCAATGCAGATGTCAATTCCTTAATAATGAATACCAGATATTCAGGTCCCAAAATAACACTGATTTTGGATAATGTTCTTCTCACAGCTTCACGCAAATCATCTGATTTACTTCTCAGGACTTGGCATGTACTGGTTAAAATACCAGGTAATAAGCTAACCATAGTTTCGGATTCCAAACCCAATACAATATTTACCAAAACTTCGGCTAATGGCATTCTTGCAACTATGGTTTCTTCGTTTCTTGTAGCCAAAATCTTGGATAAAAGTGGGTATACCTCATTGATGACAAAGGAATCGATACCAGCAATCTTGTTTGGAAGTTTTTTTAGAACTAGATCTGTTTTGCACCTACCTCTTTCATTTTGTAGGGTGTTTTTGATTGAAATGGAGACCTGAGTAAGTAATGTCACGACCTCTTTCAAATGATCCGGCTTATTTTTCAAAATTGAAATATATCTCCTAAATAATGCTTGGTATTGATTCCAAGACATAGAGTTAGATAGTTCACCTATTGTCAATAGAGCTTCATTACCAATATTCCTGTATTTTTCTTCGGTGGAAAATACATAATGTTCAATAATTGGAATCAAATAGTGAGATATACTACCATCTGACAGCTCTTTGCCATGTTCTCTTAGTCTTTTTACTGCTCTTTGACGACGATGTAACTGAATATTGTTGATGTTAGTGAAAAAGTTAGCTTCATCATCATCATTATATAGCAATACACGCATATCATTCAATTCATTATAATACGATGAATGTGCCACAATGTAAGCCAAAATACCAACATATTCACCTTGTATTTCTTCATCGTATCTTCTTAAACCAGCACGAATGTAAGGCAAGATTACAGCCTTCAATAATGTTACCGCCTTTTTCGCATCTTCTGCTGAAGCTTTAGCATTCATAAAATCTACGAATGTATTGATGGTATGTCTAGCATTATTTCTCAATGCCAATTCATCCTTCTCATTCAATGTATATAAACAAGTGTTGATGACTGGAAGCCATTCAATTTCTGTATAAGTCTTGAAATCTTCCTCTGTGAATTTCTTGAAAGCAGACAATCTGGTTGGGAAATCATATTCATGGATACGTGTGGTTGAATACGAGTTTAGATCTCTTAATAGTTTTGCTACTCTCTCGATATTTGAGAATCTTTCACCTAAACTAGTAAAAACATCAGTGACTGCGTCTCTCAAGTTTCTCTCCGAGTATACTTTATATAAATTGGAACATACTTCATATAGTTTCTCAATTTCTGACCACGAACAGTCATACTCTGCTATTAGAACACTCAATACTTTCAACACCTTCAACCTTCCGTTATTGTCAATGACTCTCAAACCTCCATCAATAATTTGGGTTAAAGACTCTACAAGGTATTTTCTTGTATCATTATCACTGACATATCCTGCCTCTGTCATGTTAAGAAGTAAATCGACTGCAACTGATACCGATTCGGTACTCGTAAGTTTGGGATATAGCTCTGGAAGTATTTTTAGTGAAGTTGAGGAAATCAATGTGACAAGCTCTACATATTGGTCAGACGATGATGGAGTTTTGATGATATTGTTGGCAGCTTCCAGAATCACTACTAGGACGGATTCCTTTACATTTGGGTTTGACATTGTCCTCATCAACGCTGCAGGAGCAGAGTAGTCGTTATAGTATAGGAATGGATATAATTGTTCAGAGGTGGACCAATAGGAAATCAACTTCAAGATAGAAGATGGTTGTTGTAAATTTTCACCTTCAAATTTGGCCAAACGAGGTTCAATAACCAGTTGGAACATATCAACAATAAATTCATCCCAGGATAATTCATTTCCAATTGTTTCAAAAATATTATACAGACATCTCATAGTAATTTGCCTTAAGTATGAAGAAACCTTTTGAACTCCAATATCAATATCACTGGCGTCGGTATCAGCCAGGGCTTGATTAGAAACCGTTAAAATGTATAAAATCGGTCTGATTACACTAGCAATAACCTTAGGAAAGCGTGCACCAAGAACCGAAAGAGCTTGACTGACAATATTTACAAAACCAGTCATACGCTTCATCCCATTTGGTGTCATATCCTCTTCTGGAATGGTGTGGCTGGATTCAAAGAAAATTTCATGCTTAAATCTACTACCACCCAATCTGAAAAAATCGACAATATACTGTTCTTTTAACATTGGTAATACTGATAAAACAGCGTTCTTACGACTTTTTTTGACACCACTAGAATTTGCAGTTTGAGCACGACCAAAAAGAATCCGCAATATATATGGCATTAAACTTAGTTCGTCATTATCTTCTATGATTCTAGCTTCACCCTTTGCCAAAAATTTGGTTATTTCATCTCTAAATAAAGTGTCGTCTAGTAAGCTTTTCAAATTATCTCTGTACTTAACCACAGAAGGTTCTTTGTATGCAAATAAAGCACTCAATGCTAGTTTTTGGACATCATTATTACCACTACTCAATAGAGACATCAGTCTTGTATAAACTTTGTCTTCTTTATAAATTGACTTGATATTTTTGAACTTAGCCACAACTTTCAGTAATGAATTTCTGTCTTGATCAAACCAATTTGATGCACTTGTGATATTCGTAATTGTAGTACTATTGTCACTTTTCAGAATATCTTTTAGTTCATTTTCGTTAAATAGGAAAAGGACAATATCTTTTGAGTGACGTTCTGCAAGTGTTGGAATTAGATTCATCAATTTTAAAGACTGGCTTCTAATTTGGGGAGGGAATTTCAAATTACCCCTTCTAGATTTTGTTATCTCCAGTAAAGAATTTTCACTGTAGGTGTATTTAGACCAAAGATTAGAGACACGCTTTAGAGAATCATTTAATCTACTAACATACACTTGCCAAACTTCAGAATCTAGATCATCTTGCATTATATCTTCAGGGTATGTCACAACGTGAATGTGATCTGGAGCAACAAGAATCTTCAAAAGTAGATCCCATATTAGCTGTTGGTCACTGGAATAAATATCAGGAAGTATTTCATAAACACCATCCCAAACAGGTGAAAATCTGATGGTTAACAAACCAAACAAGAATCTAAAGAAAGCGGTCCTCACAAAAGGGTCCAGTTCATTGTTTTTAAAGTATTCTCCCATTTTTCTTATTCTGACAGTAATATCACGAGCATTGTTCAATGTTAAGGGAATTTCTTCTAATATTTTACACTCATTCAGCAGGACTGGAAATTCTTGGCCCTTAATGGAGTACAGAGTCGAATACAACTTCAAGGTTTCATAACGAATCTGCTGGTCTGGGAGATACAAATTTGTCGATAAGGTCTCAAAGTTCAACTGGTAGCCATTCAATATCTCAGTTAATTGATTGTCACCGTTAAATGAAGCCAAAAAGGTATTAAATCCGGTTATAAAATATACACTGTCCTTTAGCTTCTCAAGTTGACCAAACAACATCTCCAGTAAACCTATTTTATCCTTCACATCCAATTGTACAAGTAGTTTTAATAAATGGCCAATAATGTCCTTCTCAAAATCTGCAAATTTATTATCTGATGAAATTAAATTGATGATGATAGTTACTACACTTGTGTCACACTTGCTCTTTGAATGTTCCAGTAATATTACTCTCCAGTAAATATCTAGTAAATTGGCACAAGTGGATAAACCATCCAATGATTTTACCAATGTGTTTGAAAAGTCACTGGAAATGCTTACAGGTAATTTTCGCTTCAACTGTTCATCTTCCTCAAGTTCTAATAAAAATAGTGATAGCTGCTTTCCATATTCTTCCCCATGGTTTCCAATAAATTTTTGAAAGTATTTTGTTCCATTGAAGGATAAAACATTAGAAGCGCTCATGTCCAAAGAAAGCCTAAAAAATTCTATAAAGAAACTTGGAAACTTGTTTTGATAAAATTCAAAGAACTTCTTATGATATATTGTCAAGTTTTTGATATCCAAATTACGGAACAATGTCCCAAAAAGGAAGGCTAGCGATTTTGGATTCAAAGTAGTTGTATCTTCTTTGGTGATTAACTTATCTATAACAGAAGTAACTTGATTCCAATTGGAAATTTTTTTACCACTTTCAGAAAAGACTAAAGTTCCTAAAATCCTTGTGATCATGTCTAAATTAGATTCATCAATCTGTCCTCCTAAAATTTCCAATACGACAGAATATAGAGGCTCTAAATTTTCCAAGGTTGCATGTTTTGATATATTCATCCAGATATCACAAACCAATGAGGTAGTGACTTCTTGATTGTCAGATTTCAAACTACTTAAAATGATTATTGATAATATTGTCTTGGATTTGGAGTGAAGAGCACCTTGAGTAGAAGTTAAAGATTCAGTACACAATGTTAAAATCCCTTCATATAAGTTCGATTGTTCAATGTTATCAACTTTATTGAATGAAAATACAATGAATTTTTCTAAATTCTTTGAGCTTGCCTTTCTTATTAAAAATGACATTGCTTCAGCAGAGAATCTAGATAAATATTCCTTCGAGTGAGATAATAAAGGAAATAATAAATTAAAAGTTGTAACCAGATCATCACTTAAAAACTTGGACAAATATTTGAAAATGTATGCTAAACAATTAAACCCCCATTCGAATACTTCAGTAGATTCAAATTTCACAGCTTCTTCTAATAGTCTGATTAATGACAGCACTGTTGGTTCATAAAACTTTAAAAAGTCTGGACCCAGATCATGACAAAATTGAGCTAGTACTTCAAGTAGAGGTTGTAAAGATTTATCATCATGTAAATCGATATACTTTATTAAAGTTTCAGAGATCTTATCCTGATGATATAAAATTTGGGGCAAAGTTTGAATATATCTTTCAATTTCTTCTGAAAAATTAGTAAAACCAGCACTCAAGTTAATTTCTTTCCAATGATCAAAAGATGCTAATAAGTGAGAAGTTTCCACGTAATCATGGGCTCTTTTAGTTAAAACTCTGGCAGGTTCAATTCTCAAATCATCGATTTTAGATTTGAAAGAAGAGTATCTGTACCTCTTCGTGGTCTTAGTAGTAGTCTTTTGTTTTGCCATAATATACAATTTGCCTGCTTTTGTATCTTACTTATCACTAAATAAAAAAAGGTAAGGTATGGTATCAAACCGGCAACGACTTCTTACAGATACAATTATCTAAGAGAGATATACCCTAATTAAGCTATAGGCTGATTTTAATCGAATCAAATTGGTAGCAATCTATAGTTATTTAACTGCTAACTGTACGTATTCTATCACCTTACCTCACCTCATCTCATCTCATCTCATCGCTTATATTAATGGATCTTTAAATTTTTCAAAAGAATAATTTTCATATTTTAGGATGAAAAGAAAAGTTATGATCATGTGATCCGAAAAGAAAGGATCACATTTAAGACTCTGAAAAATGTATGTAAAAATGTAATTAGGGACTACATTGAACCAATCAATGACTGGCATAAATTATCATGACTTCTTGTAGTCATTGGTAACCAACCAGTATACTTTAATATTGATACTACATTTATAAATATAAAAAGACCTAAAATTCTCTGGTTATAGTAATTGCTGTATTTTGGCAATTTTTTGAAGACTGTAATTTTTTTTGTTAAATTAACTAAAGATTCAGATATAATAATGTTTAGATATTCTGTACCAATTAAAAATATTATGGGTACACCTACTGGTAGGAGTATTGCTACACTTCCAAAATCGTTTAAATCTTTAATATATTCGAAACATGATGTGGATAATTGTTCCGAGGTGCTTTCAGTCAAAGAGTATGTCCCAAAGGAGAATTTGAAAGAATCTATAGTTTTGAGAACTTTGGCATTTCCTATTAACCCCTCTGATATAAATCAATTACAAGGTGTTTACCCTTCAATTCCTGAAAAAACATTAGATTTTTCTACGGATGAACCAGCTGCTGTTGCAGGTAATGAAGGTTTATTTGAAGTTATTCATGTACCAACTAAAGCGTCAGATAAATTTAAAGTCGGTGATTGGGTTATACCACTAAAGTCAAACCAAGGTACTTGGACTGATTATAAAGCTATTACTAATCCTTCTGATTTGATTAAAGTTAACGGATTAGACTTATTATCAGCAGCCACTGTTTCTGTCAATGGCTGTACTGCCTATCAATTGGTAAATAATTACATTAAATGGGATTCAACTGGAAGTAACAATGAATGGATAATTCAAAACGCTGGTACTTCAGGTGTTTCCAAATTGGTAACTCAGATAGCTAAGGCAAGGGGTATTAAAACATTGAGTGTTATTAGAGATCGTGATAATTTTGATGAAGTTGCACAAGAATTAGAAAATAAATATGGTGCCACTAAAGTTATTTCAGAAACTATGAATAACGATAAAACATTTGGTAAACAAGATTTACCGAAGATATTAGGACCTAATGGTACAATAAAGTTAGCTTTAAACTCTGTTGGTGGAAAATCTAGCAGTTCTATTGCCCGTAAATTAGAAAAGAACGCACTAATGTTAACATATGGGGGGATGTCTAAACAACCAGTTAGTTTACCAACTTCCTTATACATTTTTAAAGGGTTGACCTCTAAAGGGTATTGGATAACTGAAAATACAAAAAAGAATCCATCTGAAAAAGTCGAAACTGTAGAGGGTTTTATCAAGTTATATCAAGAAGGTCATATTGAGACACCCAATTTATCAAGAGATTTTAATCATATAGAATGGGATGTCAGTAATGACAAAGATATACTTGAAAAGGTCAAAGAGGGGATTAATGCAAAGGGTAAAAAACAAATAGTATTGTTAAAATGGAAATGATGAGCCAAATTACTTCCGAATAATAGTAATTTCTATTTTTCATATATATTAATTCATCGTAGTTAGTAAGAAGTAAAAATTTAATAGGTATTGAATTTTTTGGCTTCACTATTTTATGTGTCTATATTCAAACATTTTTTTAGGTTTCTAAATAATCCACTAAGTATAACAATTACTACAAATACTAACATAAGTTAGCCAAAGATATTTACTAGGGCTTAGCTGTGAACGGTATTAACCCAAAGACATAAACAAAAACTTGTTCCAAAAGGTATATTATATATATTCAATTAAAATACAAGAAGAGATTTAATAGAAAATTTAAGTCATTAAAATGGAGGAATATATATATATATATAAAACGCATGAATCATCAATGTCAACCATGAACAGGAAGTGGTACTAAAAAAACCTAAGAAGGTTAATCAAGATTATAATACAACAAATGATAGATACCCTTTCCCTAGTCTATCCCATATATGTGTTTGGATCAAAAGTATAATCAAGAATTCATTATCAACTACTGCATCACAACTCTTCCTTAGTCTATATTGTTTGCCAAACCTGACAGTATGACCAAGAACAATATTTGGCAACGTGATATTGAATACTATACTAGCAAGTGTGATCTAATTGCAATGCCCTCTTACTCTTATAGTATAAGGAGATGGAATCGACTGGAAAAAAAAATTTTTTTTCTACTTTCCTTGTTTGCAATGACGAAATAGAAATAAATAAAATAGTCTTGTAACAGTCTTGAAGTTAAAATGGAAATGGGAACCACGTAAAGCAAACGACTCTCTCTAAACTCTGTCTCTTCCATCCTCTTGATACAAATTTTATTAGTGACTTCTTCTATTTCTGGCCGTCTTTCATCTCTTTGCTTCTCTTCCCAGTTTTCCTTGGTGTGATGTGAAATTTTTTCAGTTTGGGTCTTCTCATCTCTCATCTCCTACCTCTTCCTTTCTTTTTCTCTCTTGTACATTTTGAATTCGAATTCGATAAGATATGTTCTGTTGCGGTCAATGATAGATGGCGAAGATGTGATGGCAAAAAGGTCCAATCTCTGCTTTTTTACTAGTTATTCTGGCTTTTTTATGGTGGTGATGATTTGAATATTTTTCACTTTTTTTTTCACTTGTGGTTGTCTTATGTTATTCTCTAGCATCAACGAGAGAGATGTTGTAGTAATTAACTAACTAGTGTTCACAGTTTAGCGTATTCTTGATTTATTCAATTTATTGGATTTGTTCTTTTTTGTAGATGTTTGTATTTTCTTCAAATTAGTTACTTTATTGCTTTGCATTTGCATTTGCATTTATTTTAGAAATTGTATAATGTACTTATCAATATATACATATATATTGATTGATTGATTGATTGATTGATTGAGCTGTAACTGCTTTAATAAGAGTAAGAAACTAAAACAAAAGAGATTAAAAGATGCCACCAAAGAAGCAAGTCGAAGAAAAAAAAGTTTTATTAGGTCGTCCAGGTAATAACTTAAAGGCTGGTATTGTTGGTTTAGCCAATGTTGGTAAATCTACTTTTTTCCAAGCTATTACCAGATGTCCTTTAGGTAATCCTGCAAACTATCCTTTTGCTACTATTGATCCAGAAGAAGCAAGAGTTATTGTTCCATCTCCAAGATTTGATGAGTTAAGTAAAATTTACAAGCCAGCTTCTGAAGTCCCAGCTCATTTGACTGTTTACGATATTGCTGGTTTGACCAAAGGTGCTTCTGCTGGTGAAGGTTTAGGTAATGCTTTCTTGTCTCATATTAGATCCGTCGATTCTATTTATCAAGTTGTTCGTTGTTTCGATGATGCTGAAATTATCCATATCGAAGGTGATGTTAACCCTGTTCGTGATTTGGATATTATCTCTCAAGAATTGAGATTGAAGGATATTGAATTCTCTGAAAAAGCTTTAGAAGCTGCTGAAAAAATCGCCAAGAGAGGTGGTCAATCTTTGGAAGTCAAACAAAAGAAAGAAGAAATGGCTTTGATTCAAAGAATTATTGATTTATTAAAAGATGGTAAAAGAGTTGCTAACCAAAGTTGGACTCCAAAGGAAGTTGAAACCATCAACTCCATGTATTTGTTAACTGCTAAACCAACTATTTATTTGATTAACTTATCTGAAAGAGATTACATCAGAAAGAAGAACAAGTACTTATTGAAAATTAAGGAATGGGTAGATGAATTCTCTCCAGGTGATTTGGTCATCCCATTCTCCGTCTGTTTGGAAGAAAGATTATCGCATATGTCTACCGAAGAAGCTGAAGAAGAATTGAAGAACATTGGTGCTATTTCTGCTCTACCAAAGATTGTCACCACCATGAGAACTAAATTGGAATTGATCTCTTTCTTCACTTGTGGTCCAGATGAAGTTCGTGAATGGACTATCAGAAAAGGTACTAAAGCTCCACAAGCCGCTGGTGTTATTCACAATGATTTAATGAACACTTTTATTTTAGCTCAAGTTATGAAGTATGAAGACGTCCTTGAATACAAAGATGACGCTGCTATTAAAGCTGCAGGTAAATTACAACAAAAGGGTAAGGAATATGTTGTCGAAGATGGTGACATTATTTACTTCAGAGCAGGTGCTGGTAAAAACTAGAATATTTACATTTGTCTTCCAAAGTTTATAAATATATATCTACATGATTATATATATTTACTGAACATATTAAAAAAAATTAATAAAATAAATGTGATAATAAAATTATTGGATTGATAAGGATGATAACAATGAATATTCTTGATGTAGTTTCAAGCTGTAGCTTGACATATTAGTTGATACCTAAATTTTGCAATTGTTCAGCTGATCTAATCCAACTTAATTTTTTAGGACAAAATTAAGAATAAACATAAATATTAATTCAGCCAAGATGGCACATAACATAACTCTCGATGTACCTTAATTTCAAAGGCTTAATCGCAAGTGAACAATCTTAGAATCGAGTGCATATCTTGTTAGATTCTTTGCTGATGCCTATTTTTATAATTTCGAAACTACATACTAATGAACAACTTAGTAAATGTTTTTTTTTCATTCTTTTCCTATTTATTTACCTATTACCGTTTCGGGCAAATTATGAAATATTTCAAGTTTAAAGAAGTCTCGAAATAAGAAGACATTGATGTATATGAAAATGTAGTAAATATAAACTTGTAATCTGGATTCAATCTTTTCCCTGAAATTTTTTATATATACTTAGCCATCTCTTAATTTAAAAACTCTTAATTTAAAAACCCTTGAACATTATTACCCATACTATCTCGATAAGCGACGCAATCAGTAATAATATTTTGAGATCTTATATATTAAATCAATAATTTGATTCGAAATATTATGACTAGAAATCCTTTTGTAGCAGATGCTTCTGGAGCTTCTCCTATTAGGTCTCCTCGTAAACCAAATTTGACAAGGTTTTCTACCCATAGCAGTGAAGAGATACCTCAATGGAATTCAAGAGTCCAAGAAGACCCGTTCGTTGATGAATCTGAATTTGACCATTCTCACAGATTCCAAGGTTTGCCTCAATCTCCATCAAAGGCTGCATTAAGATACTCCCCTGAACGTCGTCAAAGAAATCAATTTTACAGGGATAGCACACATAACACGCCAGTTGCTAATAGATATTTAGCAAATTTGCAACAATCACCAACTAGACCTACAGATGCGGTAATTGAAATGGAAAAGGATTATTATGGAGATGATATTGAGGAAATTACTAATAGTTATTTGCGTGAAGATACCAGGACTTCTAATAACTTATTTGGTAATGTTAGCAGAACCTATACTCAATATTCAGCTTCAATGGCTTCAACGGCGGCTGTCTCATATATGTCAGATGAAAAAATGAGGAAATCCTTTGATAGTGAAAAGGACAGTATTTTCTCCGGTGACACCTTTGGTGAAACCAAATTCCAATTGAACCATCCTGTTCGTCGTGATTATGTCAGACGTGCTAATTCTGAGAGTAAAAGAAGGACGATGACAAATGCTCCAACTAATAAAGCTATTCTAAAATTGGATAATCCAATTCCAAGAGGTTTACTAGATTCTTTACCAAGAAGAAGTTCACCTGAATTTACAGAGATGAGATATACTGCTTGTACAGTAGAATCTGATGATTTTGCTAGTGAAGGATACTCATTAAGATTTGCTGAAATGAATAGAGAATGTCAAATTGTAGTATGTGTTACAATGTATAACGAAGATAAATATGCTTTGGCAAGAACATTACATTCTATTATGAGAAATGTTGCACATTTATGTAAACGTGAAAAATCCCATGTATGGGGTCCTAATGGATGGAAAAAAGTTTCTGTCATTTTGATTAGTGATGGTAGAGCTAAAGTTAATCAAGGATCTTTGGATTATTTGGCTGCACTAGGTGTTTATCAAGAGGATATGGCAAAAGCATCAGTTAACGGGGAATCCGTCAAAGCACATATATTCGAGTTGACAACCCAATTATCGATCAATGCTGAACTAGATTATGTCTCTGAGGATATTGTTCCAGTACAATTGATATTTTGTTTAAAAGAAGAAAATAAGAAGAAAATTAATTCTCATCGTTGGTTGTTTAATTCTTTCTGTCCTGTTCTACAGCCAAATGTTGTTATGTTGGTAGATGTTGGTACACAACTGAATGATACTGCCGTCTATCACTTATGGAAAGCTTTTGATTTGGATTCTAATGTTGCAGGCGCAGCTGGTCAAATTATTGCTATGAAAGGTAAACATGGTAAAAAGCTTCTAAACCCATTAGTTGCATCTCAAAATTTTGAATATAAGATTTCAAATATTTTAGATAAACCTTTAGAAAGTACATTTGGTTATATATCCGTCTTACCAGGTGCATTATCCGCCTATAGGTATCGTGCATTACAAAACCATGAAGATGGTACTGGTCCACTGAATTCATACTTTTTGGGTGAAAGTCTTGAAGGTAGAAACGAAAACGTCTTTACCGCTAACATGTATCTAGCAGAAGATAGAATTTTATGTTGGGAATTAGTTGCAAAAAGGGATTCTAGTTGGGTGTTAAAGTATGTTAAAGAAGCTAAGGGTGAAACGGATGTTCCGGAAGATATTCCGGAATTTATATCACAAAGAAGACGTTGGTTAAACGGTGCCACCTTTGCTGCTTTGTATGCACAACTTCATTTTTATCAAATTTGGGAAACTAATCATTCATTTTTACGTAAGATATTTCTCCATGTTGAGTTCTTCTACCAATTTGTTCAAATGTTGTTTTCATGGTTCGCTATTAGTAATTTCGTTTTAACTTTTTACTATCTAGCAGGCTCTTTAAATCATACCATAAAACATGGTGTGGTACTTTTCATCTTCTTCAAGTATTTGATATTCTGTGATTTAGCATGTTTGTTCATTATTTCAATGGGTAACAGACCACAAGGTGGTAAATATTTATTCATCACATCCATTTGTATATTGACTGTGTGTGCATTATATGCTTTGATATGTGGATTTGTTTTTGCATTTAAGACATTGGCCTCTCACACTGAAAGCTACTCGGCATTTGTCAACATTGTTGTTTCATTGTTGTCTACCTATGGTCTATATACATTTGCTTCCGTAATGTATCTAGATCCATGGCATATGATTACTTCTTCTGTCCAATATTTTGCAACATTACCAGCATTTACCTGTACTTTACAAATTTTTGCCTTTTGTAATACACATGATGTTTCCTGGGGTACCAAAGGTTCCACTCAAGTATCAAAACCATTATCAAATGCTATTGTTGTTCAAGGTCCAGATGGGAAGCAAATTGTTGAAACTGATTGGCCTCAGGAAGTTGATAAGAAGTACATTGAAATTAAAAGTCGTTTGAAGGAAGTTGAAGTGAAAGAAGAAGTTGTTGATAAAGTTCAAAAGAAGAATGATTATTATAGAGATATCAGAACAAGAATTGTCATGTTTTGGTTACTTTCAAACTTAATTTTAATCATGGCAATTATAGAAGTTTATTCCCCTGACGACACAAACAATAAATACCTACAGTTCATTTTATGGTCTGTTGCAGCTTTAGCATTGTTCAGAGTAACTGGTTCGATGGCTTTCTTATTTGTGAAATACTTGCGTGCGATCGTTAGTTATTTTAACAAGAGAGAAATATCTGACAGTTCAAGAAATTGGAAGATACCAGAAATCAAAATCTTCAGCAAATCTGGTTAAAATTATACAAAAATACCAAAAAGAAAATCATTATCATTTTTATATACAAATAAATAGACTCTTGTGCATTAGTTCAAATTTTAAATTTAATACCATATGTTTTTAATAATTAGTGTGATTAGACTAAGCAAGATAATAACTATTTGATAAAACATATTCAAATATATTTTGTTTCGCGTCAGGACAAAATGCTGTGACACATAATGCAAAAAGGAGATTTTGAAGGATTATAAATATAGGATAACTAAGAATTATTTTAAGTCGAGTCTTACTTATCTCGATTTTGGGCTATATAAACATTTTAATGTTTCCTTTCAATATGTTCTTTGTGTTTTCCTTCTAAAAAATTGAAATAACTGTAGTATTTCCGGTGAATATTTTACAGAAGATTTGAAATTTGGAAGGTTTGAATTTTTTTGACGAGAAATGGATGTTGAAAGTCATCAGTTTCCTTCAGACGGAGATAGAGCATCTAATATCCTTTTAAACTATTCTGATAATTCCCCCAATTTTACGAGACACTCTTCACTAATTAGACCTGAAAGAGACAATTTAGAGGATCCCCACAATCCACATCATTACTATGCAAAAAAAATAATTGAAAATCAAGATCATATTAAAATCGGTGCCCATAGGACTATTTCAAGGCCAATAAATGCAAAACATTTCAGAGATAATTTTCCTTTTGACGTTAATGAAGGCAGTCTGAGGAAACGTAGGAATACTAATCTTAGTTATGAATACAGTAAGGAAGAGATGAAGTCGGAAAAAACAGATAAGGAGGTCCTTGAAGTAATTGGAATAACAAAGAAATCATTCCAAAAAAACGCAGGGGATGATAGGAAAACTAAAATAAGATTGTGGAAATTCTACTGTTATTTTATAACTTTTTGGGCACCTCCACCTGTATTAAAATTCTTTGGTATGCCTAAAAGAGAGAGACAAATTGCATGGAGAGAGAAGATTGGACTAATATCCATCGTGTTTTATATGGCGGGATTTGTGGCTTTTCTGACATTTGGTTTTACAAAAACAGTATGTAGAAATTTGTCCTTACATGTTTATCATAAAGGTAACTTCACAGACCAATTGCTTATACATGGAAAAGTCTTCGATTTACAAGACTTCAAACATCCAGAAGCACCTGGGGTCCAAAATAACTCCAATATTTTATACCCACCCTATAATGCAAATGGAATGGATGCAAGTTTATTATTTCAAAATGTCAATGGAAACTGCAAGGGATTGATTATACCAAAGGAAAATTGTTCAATACCACACACGAAGGAAGGAGATGTGGCATGGTATTTTCCATGTACGTTGATGAAAGTAGATGGTACATCACTTCCAGAATTTCAGGAATCAAAATATTATGATGGATGGGGGTGTCACACATCAGACAATGCAAGAAGACAATTTTATACTATGAATTATATTGCTGACGTTTATTATAAATGGGAGGATTTAAAATCCAAAGAGAGAGATTTGGTTGTAGTCAATGGGGAAGTTTTAGATTTAAATATTTTAAATTGGTTAGATAAAGACCAATTATCTTATCCATCACAATTTGACGAATTGCAATCATCGGCATTAAAAGGATATGATCTTTCAATTCTGTCATCAAACTATTATCAACAACAAGTCTTAAAATGTTTAATTGATATAGCTAGGGTTGGAAGAATTGACTCCAAATCAATTGGATGCATTGCTTCCGATGTAGTATTATTGGTATCATTAACTATAATTCTTGGAGTTGTTATGGCAAAATTTCTAGTGGCATGCTATTTTAGGTGGAAAATAGCCAAAAATCAAGGTGCATATCCAATGAATAATCAAGCAATGGAGAAGTATATGAAAGAAATTGAAAGATGGTCAAATGAGATGGAATTTCAAGGACCATTATTTCAGGAAGAAGCATTATCTGTTGAGGAAACTGATGGTAAGCACTCTACTATTGAAAACAATATCATGAATTCCACTATTTCATCAAGCAAGCTATTTAATTTTAAAGAGTTTAAATTGAATATGTCAGCAAAGGACTTGGACTGTTCGGCATTTAATGGGATAACTACAATGGTTATTCAAAATCAGTTAAAACAAAATATGGAAGAAATAAACCTAAGATCATCATATATATCGGGAACATGTTCGTCTTCTACAAGAGAAAGCCTTATGACACCGATTGAGGAACCTTACAAACAAATAAATAGTTTTGATCCCTCATTAATCCATCCAAAATCTCTGAGTCAGCCATCTGTTTTCTACATGCCTCATAATTTTCCTTTAGTTCATATTATTTGTTTTGTAACATGCTATTCAGAGGGCAAAGATGGTCTAAGAACTACTTTAGATTCTTTGTCAAACACTGAGTACCCAGCTACAAATAAGCTACTATTAGTTGTATGTGACGGTTTGATTAAAGGATCAGGTAATGAAAAAACAACACCAGAGATTGTTTTGGGCATGATGCAAGATTTCATAATCCCACCAGATAAGGTTGAAGCTTATTCATATATTGCAGTGGCTTCAGGATCGAAAAGACATAATATGGCTAAAGTTTATGGAGGGTTTTATAAATACGATGATAATACCACACCAACTAAGAACCAAAAAAGGGTACCAATGATAACAATTGTAAAATGTGGTACAATTGAAGAATCAAACTCTAGTAAACCTGGTAATAGAGGGAAGAGAGATTCCCAAGTTATTTTAATGTCATTCCTTCAGAAGCTCACTTTTGATGAACGGATGAACGAGCTCGAATATAATTTACTGAAAACTATCTGGCATATAACAGGTTTAATGGGAGATATGTATGAGTTGGTATTAATGGTTGATGCAGACACAAAGGTATATCCTGATTCTTTGACTCACATGGCAGCAGAGATGATAAAAGATCCATCCATTATGGGGTTATGTGGCGAAACAAAAATTGTTAATAAAGCACAATCCTGGGTTACTGCCATTCAGGTTTTTGAATATTTCATTTCACATCATCAAGCTAAAGCTTTTGAATCCGTGTTTGGCTCAGTGACCTGTCTTCCTGGATGTTTTTCTATGTATAGAATAAAGTCGCCTAAGGGTTTTGATGGTTACTGGGTACCAATTTTGGCAAACCCAGATATAGTAGAGAGATATTCTGATAATGTAACTAATACATTACATAAGAAAAATCTGCTTTTATTGGGAGAGGATAGATATTTATCATCATTGATGTTAAAAACCTTTCCAAAAAGAAGACAAATTTTTGTACCAAAGGCCGCTTGTAAGACGGTGGTCCCTGATAAATTTAAGGTTTTATTATCCCAACGTCGTAGATGGATAAATTCAACTGTTCATAATCTCTTTGAATTATTGCTTATACGTGACCTCTGTGGAACATTTTGTTTTTCTATGCAATTTGTAATCGGGATTGAATTGATTGGTACTTTAGTGCTCCCTTTAGCCATCTGTTTTACAATATATGTCATTACTTTTACTATTGTCTCCGAGCCTACGCCAGTAATTACACTCATTATATTAGGAATAATATTAGGTTTGCCCGGATTGGTGGTAATAATTACAGCAACTGGATGGTCATATCTGATCTGGATGTTAGCTTACATATTGGCCTTGCCCATCTGGAATTTTGTATTACCAGTGTATGCGTTTTGGAAATTTGATGACTTTTCTTGGGGAGATACGAGGCCAATTGCAGGTGATGACAAAAATCCGGCTGGACATGATGACATAGAGGGTCCATTTGACTATTCGACAATCAAAATGCAAACATGGAGACAATTCATCGAAGAAGAAAGAAGTCAAATTTTTTAGAACATAATAGAGCTTAACAAACTAAATAAAGTAATCAGAAACATACAAATATAGAGAAAAATGCAAATGTGATTATTAATTACATGATGAAAAATGCGAGTACGTAAAGGTTATTTACAAAATTTGTCATTAAGACGATGCTAAAAAATATTTTTACAGATTATAGAAATATTTGGTAATGAATTTAATCAATGAGACATTGAGAGGAATAATTATGCAGGATTAATAGAAAATCTTTTCATCAGAGTGATCATGTATGGTTGATTGATCATCGGTTAAGTCATTCTTCTTTGAATTTTCTAACCAGGTTAATTCAAAATCTTCGACATTTTGCCATCTCTGGAACCAACCTTTATCTCTTAAGATATTCTTAACTGGAGATCCTTCTACTGGGAAAAAGTAACACAACAAGGTATATGCTATGAAACTGAACATGTAACCAATCCAATAACTCAAATAATACAGTTTCATGGCATTTTCTGATACAGTGACCTTTGGAGCACCGACATCACCAATGAAACCAGGTAAATTTGGAGCAACACCGCAGAAATATGCAACTAGAGCCCTCCAATTAATTCCAAATCTATTTCCGTACATATAGTAGGAACCTTTTTGTTTGGAATATAAGTGAGTTAGCTTAATATAACCTCTTCTAACGACAAAATAGTCTGATGCGATAACACCAGCAATAGATGATAAAAAGATGGCATATGCACCAAGAGCTGATGTAAATTTACTAGAAGATGCCAATAGGTTCCATGGACATATACATAATGCCATAAAAGCACAGAATACAGAACCTCTTCTAATATTGATAAATTTTGGCAATAAAGCACTCATATCAGTACCACATGATAATGAGTTTGCGGAAATGTTTGTACCCAACTGAGCAACAGCAAACACAAAGGATATTAAGAAAACACCGGCTCTAGTTCCACTTGTATATGATGTTTCTAAAAATCTTTGAAGAACATCAACTGGAGACCAATAGTTGACACCGTATAATGTGTAACCGGCGGAAGTAACTATAATACCAATTAAACTTGTAATTGAGAATAGTACTGGGATTGCAATCAATTGTGAATATAATGATGCATTTGGAGTATCACCAAATCTTGAAAAATCTGGAGCATTGACAACTAAGGTAGAGAAGTTTGCAATACAACTAATGATACCTCTAATGAAGGCCCAGGAGAAAGCGGATCCCTTAGGAGAAATATCATTTAATGAACCTAATTCGATATTACCATTAGTTTTCTTTAAAGCCCAGATCATAAAACCAAAGGCACCAAATGGTACTAAGATGGCCTTTACTGTAAATAAATGTTTAATTTTATGTGGAGGTACTAATAAAAATGGGAAACTAACTACCCAGAAAATGAAGAAACACATATATTCATAAGTAGTAGCATTCTTTTGACCAAAATGATTTGGAATTCTTTCTTCCAAGTCATTACCAAAAATTGATTTTAACATTAAAGAGATTGGTTCAACACAAATCCAACTTTGGACTGAGTACCAAATGACAGCCATGACGACACGATTAATAATCGGCCATAAAGAGAAGAATATACCAAAAGAAGCTCTTGCAGATATTGGAAATGAAACATGGTAAGCTGCACCAACTCTTGAAGACAATGAGACAAAGATTGCAACAAAAGTGTAACCAATCCAAATCGTAATCCAACATTGCCACCAATTTAAACCCAATTGTAAGCCAGTTGCGGCAACTTCCCAGGTATTAATGTTGAAACATTCGGCTAACCAAAAATAAGCATAGTTATACCATGACCAAGTTCTTCTAGCTTCTTCGACTGGCTTTAAATCATGATTGTACATAAAAGATTGAACAAATGGAACACCAATTGTAGATTTATCTACAATTAAATATTCGTAGTAAATCTTCTGCCATATGGAATTGTATTCTGAAGGTAATAGCTTCTCTGGTTGTTCGTCGTCACTCAAAGTAGTAGTAGAGACGTTATCAACTAAATTGGTAATGACTTGACTCTCAAGTTTATCTTTATCTAAATCGAATTTACCATTAATAGATGTGACATTGTTACCAGATTCTAGATCTAGCGTCAATACGGATGATGAAGAACGAACTTCAGAGCCCTTTTTAAACATTCTGATTAAATATTTTGCAAAATATAGGTATGGATATGTGTCTATATGGCAAAACTTTGATTAAATTAATTAAAGGGTCTCTCAAGTTGGCGCTGTCAGAAGTTCTCTACTTAGATTATCAACAAGACAAACAAGAAATATTAAGATAAATGTAGTAGTAGAAAACAATGACATCTTAAAAAATGGCTAACTAAAAAATACTTATCATGAACCAAATTAAGATCAGTATTAGAAAATAAGTTGGGATGACTGGGACATATAAAACTTTCAAGATCTCGAGTTTATATACTTTTTTGAAGTTGATGAGATCTTGACAATAGAGCTTAAAACTATTAAACAAGGTTAGGACACAATATAATTCTTAATTAGGACATAAGATAAGAATAAAACGACTGATTCTATGGACAACCTCTCAGAAACCTTAGTAATTCGTATATCAACTTTAAATTGGAAAAAAATTTCGAATGGATAAAACCTTCTCAAAACTGATATTCTGACAAATATACGTACAACTCTTTTAACAAAAAGAAAAGTGAAAATTTTTCATCTTAGCCGTCGGAAAACATTTTCTTTCTTTTTTTTGTCCTGATTTATCGCTTTTGGGTTACGAAGAACCATGACAAAAATGTAGTTGTCAGAAAAGACCTGCAGTGCAATGATCGGGAGGATTAGCCAATTTAAAAAGAAATGAAAATATCTCATTTTCGAAAATAGTGGATAAAAACAATCAGGACAAAAAAAAGAAATGTACTAAATTTGGCTTGTAGAATCAACCAAAGTTTAATGGACACATAGAACGTTTAAAAAGTTACAACGTAAATAGACTGGCAGTAGGTATATCGATCTATAATGGATCGCAAAAAAAAACATTGGATGCTAAAAAACTAAATAGCTTTTTTTTTTTAATAGCAGAAGTTTGCTGTTCAATAAGAATATGAATAGGGCAAATATAGTAGATATTTTTTATATCGTCTATATTGTTGCCTAGATAGAAAAATGCAATGACAAGTTAGGAATTGGTTAGATACAAGAAATATAAGGAAATATTTTCTCCAACGGAAATATTATTTTATAGAGATGGTAAGATCCTGGTTGAATTTTAAGCGAACGATACAGTGGTAGAATTGAAAATGGTCGAATATTACTAAAATGTTTTAATGTATATACATTTTTTTTCTTATCGGATGATATTTAATTTATTTTCTCTTGCGATTGTAAATTTTTAGGACAAATTTGAACAAAAAAAATGTCCTAATTTATTTCACATTGCAAGTAGGGTTTTCAGTTAAGGCCATTTTATGATGGTAATGATTCTTTCACTTATGGATTAATTTGGCATTATCGATTGATTAAATGATTTCAGTATTGTATTTTAGAGGCAGAAGCTAGTGATATTTAATCTATGTAAAACTAGGTCTGTTTGATATTCAATTAAATTACAGTAAAATATTAGGGTATAAATTAATTTTTATTAGTGTATGATATATTTATATGTATTATTTAGATTTTATTTGTAAAGAAAGCCTACTCTAAGTATCTATTTTTATAATTTGTTTTTTTAGATAACTTGTCGAAAGCAATTAAAAAATGTAATAATGAATGTAAAATTAAGGATTAGATTTTAATGATTGAAGATAATTAATAAAAAAAAAAAGAAAAGTTATAATTTTTAAAATGGTATCCAACTAATGCATTAGTTTAATTCTTCTTGAACTTCTTTAAGATATTTCCTGGTTTGATCATTGAAATCTTTCTAACATGGAAAATGTAATAAACCCCGATCATAGCACAAATATTGAAACCAATGTAAGCCCAGTAAAAACCGAAATTTCTCCATAGATAGCTATAGCTGGAACTGATGTGTGTCAAATAATCGTCACCGACATTGTAGATACAGTATGCACATTCGGTAGTAGAAGAAGGATCGACAATATAACCAGTTGAGCGGTTTAAGAATGGTTCCATATATTCCCCACATGTCATACCTGATGGAGGAGCAAAATAATTCAATTCTTTCTTTGAGCAAATAACTGGTTTTTCGTGTAACATAATACCAACCAAGTTTTGAACGAAATATGTGTATGGAGAAGCCTTCCACATGAAAGTCCAGAAACCAGGCATTAATGATTCCGGTTGAGTAACACCACAGAAAGAAATTAAGAATGACAAGGTCAAACCCATTAAAATATTAGCGGATGGTAAATCAGGAGACATGTACAGAACCATTAAACCTAGAGCGACATAAAATAATTGGAATAAGATACAATAGTTCAAATAGAACACAGCAGATCTTGAAGCTTCAAAGAAAATTCTTAATGGGAAATACAATGAGACAAAGAATAACGTTGAGAAAAATAAATGGTATGGGATTTCAGATAAGTATTGTGTAACCATGACCAATGACCAATGGAACATATTAGATTTTGATTCTCTAACTTCAAATAATTCTCTTGATGCAATGGCACGAGCTTGAATTTGATTCATCGAAGGAGCAGACAAAACAATAGCCATGAAGGTTGCAAATAAAGCATTCTGTAACCCAGTAAAAGTCTTACCGACATCATAGAAAGTAAAACCAATGAAAAGACCAGCAGTAATGTTCAGCATCATTTTAGACATGATGTAAGGCAAATCTCTCCACAAAGTTGTGGCAGTTCTAATCCAGACGTATCTGAATTGATAGAAGTAGGATGTAGCGTATTTAGAATTGTCATCATCTGCTGAATCAGCACCTTTTGCAGTTAAATCTCTTATCATTTCTTCAATTCTTTGTTCAGTTTCAGTATGTTCTGGAGAGTTCTTCCAGATTTGATGCCAATCTTCATTGACTGATGCAGTTGCACCGGCACCGATAGCTTCCAAGATATATTCAGCAGGGTTTTCCTTAGCATCGCACTTTCTAGCACCATTTCTTTCAAAATATTCCAATAAAGTAGTTGAATTTTGACCAATGTCACCGAAGTAGACGGTTTGACCACCCTTCTTTAAAAGTAATAGTCTATCAAATTGTTCAAATAGAGTGGCAGAAGGTTGATGGATGGTACACAAAATAGATTGACCAGCTTCGGCTAACTTTCTTAATAATTGAACAATAGACCAAGAAGACTGAGAATCCAAACCAGAGGTAGGTTCATCTAAAAACAACAATAGATCTGGTTTAGCAACCAATTCAACACCGATAGATAATTTCTTTCTTTGTTCAACATTTAAACCACGGCCAACTGCACCAACTAAAGCTTCAGCATATTCTTCCATATCTAAGATACGAATGATCTTTTCAACATATGCCATCTTTTCAGAATCAGGAATACTTTGGGCACGACGCATACGAGCAGAAAATTGTAATGATTCTCTAACGGTTAATTCAGCAATGTGAACATCTTGTTGTTGAACATAACCAGTACGTCTTTCAAAACTTGCATTAATTGGACGACCGTTAACCAACATATCACCGGTAATGATACCGACATTTCTTTGAGCCAAAGTATTCAATAAAGTAGTCTTACCAGCACCAGATTCACCCATTAAAGCAGTTAAAGTACCTGGTATACAGTAACCAGAAACATGATCTAATAACATACGTTGGCCACCATCATATGGAATAGTAAAACAGACCTTATTCCATAAAAATATACCAGTACTTTTCAAACCTTCGAAAATATTATCGTGCTCATCACTGAAGCTTTCACCAGTAGAATATTTTTCTTTAACGTCAGCAACGTTGTAACTATCAGCAGATTCTTCATCTGAAGAAATAGTAGATCTCTTGTAACCCTTCTTGAAGATTAAAGCGTCACCACCAGAAATAACAGGTCTTTTGAATTCAGTAATAAGAGCTTTCAAACCAACATAACCAATTAGGAAACACCACATGATACCAAAATTTCTCCAAGTGTGCTTATATTCATAAGTGTACTGTAATCTCAAATAGTTATCACCTAAAACCCAAGATTGGCCTGGAGTGGAACCTACGAAAGCACAAACTTGATTAGCATTAGCAACGTTTTCATAACCTGGACCACTTGGAACCAAAGTACCACCACATTCCATATGTCTACCATGGAATTCGGCATTTAACATAGATTCAAAAGAATATCTAATTGGTAAAATATAAGAAATCCATTTGAACCATGGATGCATTGAAGGCAATTGAATCATATAAGTTGAGTACATGGAGATAGCCAACATTAAAATACCACAAATAGAGTTAGCTTGGGCGATGTTGTCACAACCAGAGGAAATCATTTCGAATAAACCATTAATGGCCTCAGCACACATAATCAAGAATAGGTAGACGATGAAGAAAGTGCTTGCAGTTCTATGTAAACCAGACAAAAAGAATAGAATGATTAGGAAACATGTAATACCGATTAATCTGAAAGGCATTGCAGAAATGGTACTTGCTAATGCTTCTGCTGAAGGGTGATATAGTGAGTACCCTTTATGCTTTTGTAAAATAGGACGATGGTCAAAGGAAATATTGGCTAAACCTAACAATGAATAATATAATAATGCAAAATACAACACACCACCTCTTGAGAAGGCACCATTAGTAGTTGATGGCGAATTGTAATATAAGGACCCTGTGACAAAAGCCTGGACGATAGCTGCAACAGTGTTGATAATAGTTGACGTTTTATCACCGTAAATTCTTTGGAACCCACGTTGAACACAAAGTTTAACTTGTTCAGGATATGAAACGGTAAAATACGATTTCTTTCTTGAGTATTTTGATTTTTCTTGATTCATTGACTGTTGGTATAATTCTCTTGTTTTTTCGGCATCTACTCTATCTTTATAATCTTGGATATCTTGTTGTAATTGTTGGAATTCTGGAGAATTTAACCATTGATGTTCGAATTCCTCTGCAGTCCTTGGTACCTTATGTTCGTAACCCTCTTTGATGATATGCAAACCGTTTACATCAGTTAAAGCCGTTAAGAACTCTGCAGTAGACTGTCTTGATGGACATATATAACCCATTCTAGCAAAATAATCCTTTGCATCATTGATTTTACCATAATAAATCTGTCTACCTGCAAACAATACTACAACTTTATCGAAACATTCGTAGATATTTTCAGAAGCTTGATAAATAGTGACAAATGCAGTTGATTCTAGTAGGTTGGTCATGATTCTAATAGCTTGGGCGTATTCTAAAGCAGTAGAGGCATCTAAACCTCTAGTAGCGTTATCCCAACAGTAAATGGTACCTCTTGCAGCCAAGGCTTCAGCAATGGAAACACGCTTTCTTTCACCACCTGAGACACCTCTAACAAAATCGTTACCAACTTTAGTATTATAAGTATGTCTTAAACCGAAAATGGTTGCAAATAGATCTCTTGTAGCTGCTATGTACTCAGCCCTCGAGACATCATCGACTCTTTTTGCAGGAGTTTTACAGGCAATTGCGAAATCCAAAGTTTGCTTGACGGTTAGATAAGGGAAATGGACATCTAATTCACCATTATAAATGACATCTGATTTATAATTTTTCATCATTTCATCTTGGTAAATACCATCATAGGAAACGTCACCTTTGACACCACCAGCAAATTGATCTATTTCACCAGCGGTAACTTTTAGAAAAGAGGAACAACCTGCACCAGGTCTACCTAATACCAATACCATTTCACCAGGTTCGGCTAAACAGTTTATGTTTTGTAAAATCTTTCTCATTTTGTTGGATTCTGGGAATCAGTAGATGACAATCTTAAGTTATCCAGATCTAACCCTATGTCTGAAAGATATACTTTGCTGACAGGAACACATTCAGGGTAACTGTTAGTTTTCAAAAGGTATATAAGCAGACCAGATTTCAAGTTTCTAGAAAATATTTTCTCTTTTCTAATGTTCACTTTATGAACTAAATTATATTTTATATTTTGTATACTATATTTAGAATTTATAAAAAACCAAGAGCTTGAATAAACAACTAACGTATAATTGTACTTATACCTTAGATCTCAGTTAATATATCCACTATCACTCCAGTACAACCATGTCCCACCCTGATCAACAGTCCAATAACACTCACCTATTCCAATCTCAAGAAATAGGTGCCGTCCTGGTTTCGAACCTGCGCAAACAGGTTATGAGCCCTGCCAATGCAACCGACCTTATTCCCATTGAACTACTTGGTGTCCAAAACTATGATATGTGGTATCATTACTTTATGCAAGTAGTTGGTGAAGCCAGTCACATTTGGTCAGAATATGTTGAAACTGGAGATATTCAATCCGTTAGAATTGAATATGGATTACCTGATATTCAAATCAAGTCTATGAAAATAATCTTAGACACTAATCTTGTTTCTCTTATCAAAAAGAATGTTCCTAAAGATATTGAGAAAAAGATTAGAAACTCCTTCCTGATGACTAAAAGATCTGGGTCAACAGGATTGTTACTTTTAGAGTACTTAAAAAAGAAGTTGGGTAGGAAATGTGTTAAGTCCACCATGGCTATTTTTTCTGAAAGTCACTCCGCCTCCTCCAAACCTTTAGATCGAAGAAGAGCTGGGCAATAAAATTTGCCACCCCATGTTCACTGTAGGGAGGACTGGACTCATAATTTTTCGACGATCTGCCATAAATCTGGCGTAAGGCTTATCACAAAACTACGGACGCCTCGCGGCTCGTTGTTAGGGGTTACTCCAGATTAGCCAAATTTTTGTTTTGTGGTCCGGACCTCCTTTCTTCTGTAAGAAAAATTGTAAGGACTGAAACCCCAACCTCAAGTTTCCAACCACCTGTTGTTTCTCAAAGATTTCCCCCCCCTTTATTTCTTCTAAAGAAGCTCGACGCGCACTCACGTGATTCGGGAAATTTAAACAATAAAACGCTCAAAGAGAGGGGGGGGAATATTATCCTATAGGGTGATGGAATCCCCTCT